AGAATAAATCTCAAAGCCAGGCGTGGTGGCACATATCTACGATCCCAGCACTCGGGAGGCTGAAGGGGGACAGTGAACTAAAGATGACTAAAAGTGTAAAGTGAGTGTGGAAAACTGCATTGTCCTTCTGTGCTCGCTCACTATGATGGACTCCAGAGTCAGGCTGTTTCAGGAAAGGGAGCTGGGGCCACATTTGAAGTGTGTCTGCCGGTCTAGACTGTGGCCTTTACACTGGGGCTGGTTTTATAAAGCTTGATGTCCTTGGGGGCTGGGGATTTGGCTCAGCGGCACAGCACCTGCCTGGCAAGCGCAAGGTCGTGAGTTCGATTCCCGGTACTGGAAAAAACCGAAACAACCCCCCCCCCCGAAAAGTAAATAAATAAAGCTTGATGTCCTCAGTGCCTGCGTGACGCCAGGCAGATGGAAGGGAGCTCAGGAAGCGTTTGCTGGAATGTGCACAGGGGTGAAAATCCACATTGGTAGTAACCAGTTGGGGAGGGGTGCAGGAGGGGTTGGGATGGTGCATCTATGGGGTTAGGGAGCAGGAGAGATGAGTCTGCTTGGGACATGCCAATTTAAGTCTGCTTGGGACATGCTTGGGACGTGCAGGAGGGGTTGGGATGGTGCATCTATGGGGTTAGGGAGCAGGAGAGATGAGTCTGCTTGGGACATGCCAATTTAAAGAATTTAAGATCATCCAAGCAGACAATTAGAAATATTAGGGTGGGATCTCAGAAATGTGGGCTAAAGATAAAGAGCTCAAAGCACCAGTGTAGGAATAGTAGTAGTCAGACCTCTGAAAATGAATGAACTTGCGTGAAAAAGTTCAGAAGCATTCCCGGAAAGAGCCTGGAGAATGCCAGCATTTAAATAAAGTGTGGGAAAGGAAGCGAGGCCAGCAACGGCTGTCCAGGAGCCCGGGAGGACCGAGATAGGTTTGTCCCGGGTGTGGTGATTCGATTCGGAGGTCTCCAGGAGGACTTTGATGATTTCAGCATAAAAATGAAGGAGGGCAATTGAGGATATATTTACTGTATATAATTTTCTGGTCTGCTTTAGATTTTGCTATATAACTATAAATCTTGTTCATATGGTTAAAAAAAAAAAGAAAATGAGGGAGGGGAGGGTGGAGGGCAGAGTGGAAAGCTAGGAAGAAGACCAGATAGGTAAGGAGTGAGAGGCAGGGGACAGAAAGATCGAGGATTTTACTTTTCAGGGAGTTTGGAGTATGTTTAGAGGTCAGGTAGCAGAGAGGGAAGGAATGATAGGAGACACAGAGCAGGGGGTGTTGCTGAGTGGGATGGATTCTGTCCTTTTTTATGGTATTGGGAATTCAACCCAGGGCTTTATATTGGGCTACATTCCCAGCCACTTTTTAGAATTTTAATTTCGAGACAGGATGTTGCACAGTTGCTCTGTCTGGGCTCGAACTAGTGATAGGGGATTGATTCTTGGAAGGTGATGGGGAGGGAATCCTGTGTCCAGGTGGTGGGATTTGGAGGGAGAAGTGGTGGGTGAGTCCAGAGATGGCAGGCAGGCAGTTACCTCCAGTTTTTCATTGCAGAACTGAGGGGCGGTGAGATTAAGTGACTTAAAAACATACAACTTCAGCCCCAGTACCACTACAAAAAAAAAAAAAAATCCTTGAAACATTAAGTAAACCCCATGACAGGTCTGGGTTTCACACTGTGCGCCTGGGAATATCTGGGTGAGTAGTAGGTTACCCTGTGTGGGAGGGGGCAGTGAGAGGCCTGGTCCCTGCTTCTGCTGGGCCTTATGTCTTCACCTCCTGCATTCAGTTCTGCCCTTGGACCAGTCCCTGGCTGTGCTTACCAGCTTACTTTAGCCAGGGACACCTTGGTTCTTGGGACAGTGCTAAGATAGCAGTTGGCCCTCCTGTCCTGTGTCAGCTTTGCGTAGAAGTTGGATGAGCTGATGCCCCAGGTAACTGGTCACAGGGAGAGCCGGTGTGCTTTCAACATGACTGCATCACAGGTTGCCTTTCCTACCCAGCTGCCCTCTGCACCTTGCCTCTTGATTTTCTGTACCCAGGAGCAAGGTCAGCAGTGTGGGACAATGGCAGGAGAAGGCTCCAAGTTGTCCTGAGGCACCAGCCAGCCAAGAAGCGTTGCTCCTGGCATGCCCAGTACCCCACACAATCCTTGTGGCTTACCTAACAAGAGGAGGGGGCAGGCTCATCAAATCACTATCTGGGGATCTTAGAACAAGCCCTAAGACCCCCGCTTGCTGAGTACAACACAGCTCCTTGATGGAATAAAGGCAGGCCAGTGGAGAACTATATTAGGAAGGAGGTCAGAGAGCCAGTTGACTTGTTGCTTAGATCTGATCTAGGCTGCTCACCTCTGACAGCCAAAGTCTCTTCCCTTAAGGCTGGCCAAGACAGGAGGGGAGCAGTTCCTTCAGTTGCTGTGGAACATGCTGTATGCAGTATTTTCCACCTTGGCTGCATGTTAGAATCACAGAGGTGTTTTTTGTTTATTTGCTTTGCTTTTTACTGCTAACACTTGGACCCCTAACTAATTAAATAAAAATCCTGGATAGCAGGGCCTAGACATCTGGATATTTTTAAAATTCCTTTGGCCCTTGCCTTGGACAGCCAGTGTTGTGACTTACTGGTATGAAAGGAGATGTGGTGAGGAGGAAACACTGGGGGCAGAAGTGGGTAGCAGAGGGTGCGGTTGACAAAGTAATGAGATGTTAGCGCTGGGAGAACCCTGGCCCAGAGCTTTGTCACTCGAAGTGTGATCACACCCAAGCAGCAGGGCCCAGAGGGAGCTGGCTGCAGTGTACGTCCTCAGGCCCCACCCACACCACTGAATCAGAACACAGACACTCGGATACATCCTTTAGTACCCCAGGGACTCTTCTGTTTGGCCGTTTTCATGAACATCCTCCCTAGCCAGGCATGGGCACCTGTAATCCCAGCACTCAGAGACATATCACTGTGAGCTCCAGACCAGCCTGGGCTACACAGTGAGTTCAAGGCCAGCCTGAATTACACAGTGAGACTCTGTCTCAAACAAACCGAAATAGATTCTCATTTTGTGGGTTTGCTGTGGGTCTAAGATTAGAGTCCTTATGATGTCTATCTATTGCTGATCTGATGAGTGTATTTTGAGCAGCAGGGATCTTTTAGACTGAATTCCCAGCTTGATACCCATAGAAACTGAGAGACAGAGAGAGACATCATCCATGCTGACATAACCTAGCATTCATCAATGCTTTCTGATATACACACTACCAGGTAGCACACCGGAAGTGACCAGGTCGCACACGGTACCATACTGTGGGCTGGACCTGCAGCTGAGAGTGGAACACACCTGCTCCTGCCTCTCACAGAGCTTCCATTCTAATGAGGGAGCCGGAGAGAATGCAAACAGTAGGTGGCTAAACTACTTACAGATCAGGAGATGGCCACCAAGGAGATAAAGCGGGCCAGGTGGTGAGCAGCACTTGCAGGCTGCAGTGGTTGGGTTGCACTGAGGAGCTCCTAGACTGTGACCATAACTGGGACTTCTGATGGCAACTTTCAGGGAGAGGGGTGTGGCGCCGTGTTGGAGGGCTTCCCTAGAGTGCTGGAGGCCCAGGAGGGCTTTATTTCTGGCTCTCTTCCCTGGGCAGGACCATCTTCCATCTCTTCCTGGATTTAACCCTATTGAGGAAGCCTGGCGAGGTCCCTTCCCGGCTGTCTGGCCACATCCAGCATTCATTGTTCCCCACATTGGCGGCCTCAGAGTGGAGCCTGCGGAATGGCCCCACTGGCAAGCAGAGTGTCGGCTGTGCAGTAGGACGGCATTCAGGACCACTGGCTTCAGATTTGTAACACAGACCATGCCTTGTCTAGACACTGTCCCACCCTGAAAAACGACTGAAAGTGTTCCACTTTTCCCCAAGAAAGCACGAACACCAGACTTGCCTTCCTCTCATGATCTGTCCTGAGAGTCCGAGAGCTCTCAGGGGTCCCACCCTCACCCTAGGTGACAAAGGCCTCTTCAGGGCAGTCCTTGGACTGTGTGTGTCAGCCAGGTGACTCTTTTGCTCTGGACAGTTGGGAATACACAGTGGGGATGAGAGAGGCTGGTGCTCAGCGTCCTGCACCTCATCCCGTGGCTGTGGAAAGTGCAGCAAATTTTTTTCCTTTCCTTTTTAAGATAAGTTCCCATGGTAGAGTTCAGCCTGGCCTTGAGCTCAATACGTAGCCCAGACTGCCTCAGACTTGCGCCGATCTTCCTACCTCAGCCTCCCAAGTGCTGGGATTGCAGGTGTGCACCGCCACGCCTGGCCTGCTACAGAAATTTCTTAGGCACTAACTCAGCAACAGTGTGTTGCTGGCTCAGTAGGTGCACACAGCAGCTCACCTCTTCTGGACCTTGGCCAGCCCTTACCTCAGTGGTCTCTGTTCATACTTTACTGGATGTGTTCCTTGACTCTTCTTTGACCAACCAGATGCTGGGGGTTCTGAGCTCCCCATGCTATGATCTTTCTTCAGTAGCTCACCCCACACCTCAGGTGATCAGTCTTGGGTTGTGTTTGCCTGGAGCCAGAGTCTAGAAAGGCCAGAGGGGGCCTTGGAATACTCTTACTCCTAGCTGCGGGTCTGAGCATACCTGCTAGGCTGGAGTTTTTGAAGACTGCTAATGGGAAGGATGCTGACCAGACCAGTGTGTTAACCTAAGTAGTACAGAGTAGATAAACCTCATTTGGGTAAAATACCAAACAAGTCCTGGCACGGTAAGCTTAACTCTGTGTCAAAAGTGGCTGGAGAGCTGGATGTGGTGGCTCATAATACTGCTCTTGGAGAATTTGATTTAGCGGGAAGTCCAGGGCCAGAAAAGTCCCTCTGGGGATGGCTACCCCAGGGAGTGGCTTTTTGCTTCCTGGAGGAGGAAAGGTGCCGGTGGGGGTGTGTCTTGCTCTAGTGTCAGCCAGAAGTGTTTGTGGAGCCAACTAGACAGAAACCTGGGACTCCTACCTCCTAGGTGGCCCGAGGCAGCCGGGATGACAGTTCTCCCCAGGAACCCTGCTACCTGCTGAGAAACATGATCAGCAAGTCCCGTGAGTGTTGTCCAGGGGCTCCCCCAGTGAAGGATGGGCCTCCACAAATGGTGCTCAGCATCCTGGGACCCCAGGGGGAGGTGGAGGGTGAACTGGGAGCCAAGGAACCTCTCTCTTTATCTTGAAGGGCAGCAGAAGCACTCGGGTCCCACCCCTGAGCTAGGACGGCCAGGAGAGGGCCAGGGGGTTGGAGATGCCCAGGTGGGGCAGGTGAAAAGGTGGACTGGGACTGTATCTGTCTGTTTCTGCCTCCAGCTCCTCTGTGCATGTACCCTGCAGGCTGGAAGCTCCTGGCCATGTTGGCTCTGGTCTTGGTGGTCATGGTATGGTATTCCATCTCCCGAGAAGACAGATACATTGAGCTGTGAGTACACCTTCCACGTCCTTCCATCGGTTCTTCTCAGGGACAGGGTGGTCATAGGCAGGACATTTAGCAGGGAAGGAGGGTTCTGAGAGGCTTAGCTGCTAGGGCAGAGTCCTTCTATGAGGGTGGGTAGTGGGCAGATGGGGGTAGGATCTGGGTGACTCCCCTGTGCCCCCATACAGGGAATGCAGGGCAGGAAAGACCGGATCCTCAGTGATTTGGGTACAAGGTTGAACTTGAGTCATGCATTCCACCCTGCAGTTCCATCTTCAGCGCTGTGGGATCTTTGTGTCACTGGAAAGGTGCCTGAGATCAGGCCTTGGGTCTGACTGGGGCTCCTGCCTCCTCTCTCTGTCTCCAGTTTTTATTTTCCCATCCCAGAGAAGAAGGAGCCATGCTTCCAGGGTGAGGCAGAGAGGAGGGCCTCTGTAATCTTCGGCAAGTAAGTGCATGAGGATGAGGGGGCTGGGATAGTGAATGGGGTGTGCAGCCTCGGTGCTGGCAGCTGGATTGGTAGACATGGGTTAAGGGAAGCCAGACCTCAGAGGCCCCACTCCATACTGGCATCTAGATTAAGTTCCTTCTCCTCTCTCCCCTGTGCAGCCATACCCGAGATCACCCCATCTTCCTGCAGCTTAAGGATTATTTCTGGGTCAAGACACCGTCTGCCTACGAGCTGCCCTATGGGACCAAGGGGAGTGGTAAGTTTCTGCCCAGCTCAGTTTGGCCGTGTCGCTGCTTGTTCTTTGCCTTCTGTGGGCCCTGTGCCAACCTCTGTGGCAGGCCCAGGTTATCAGATCAAGGAGGAAAGTTAGCAGGTACCTGAGGAATGGAGCAGGGTAGGCAGCTTTGGAATGCTCATGGCTTCTCAGCCCTTCCTTTTGTTCTTTTTGTAGAGGACCTGCTCCTCCGGGTGCTAGCCATCACCAGCTATTCCATTCCCGAGAGCATCCAGAGGTAAGGAGGCTCCTCCCATGCTAGTCTGGGCGCCTCTTCCCCTTTCCTGCTCCAGTGTGAAATCACCATCCCTCTTTGCCTGTCTCCAGGGCACACAGGGGACACCAGTCCCCCTGGCAGTCAGCCTGGTCACCTGGGGGCCAGAGCAGGCAGAGGCCACTGAGGGTATCAGCAAGGCAGTGGCAGGCCTGGGCAGCAAGCGAGGGGCCTCTTGCTTGTTTCTTGCTTTGTGTTTGGTGGTACTGGGAATCAAATCCATGCCCAGGCCAGCCTCACACTTGTAATCCCTCTGCTCAGCCTCCAGAGTGGCTGTGATCATAGGTGTGGTCCCCTCTGCCCAACACAGTGGGGTTTCTCACTGGAACTCGCTCTGCTTCTCCTTTCTCCGCTGTTGCCTCTTGCCTTTAAGGCCCAGCCTTACAAAATCAGCAGGACTGGAAGCAGGGCTACTGGGGTGGAGGGTGCCAGCTCCAAGGAACCAGGGCCCCAGGGGAGCCTAGGAAGTAACGTTGAGCTGGACCCTGGGGAGATCCAGGGCCATGAGGGTTAAGTAGAGCAGGCGCTACTTCTGGATTTGATGGCTTCTCTTCCTCCTGCAGCCTTAAGTGCCGCCGCTGTGTGGTGGTGGGGAATGGGCACCGGCTACGGAATAGCTCGCTGGGAGATGCTATCAACAAGTACGATGTGGTCATCAGGTGTGTGTGTGATTGTTCCTTTCCACTTGGGGTCGGATACTGGATGTTTCAAGCAGGGGACCATAGACAGGCCCGAGGCCTATAGTCATGGGCATCTTGCTTCTGCCTCAGATTGAACAACGCCCCAGTGGCAGGCTACGAGGGTGACGTAGGCTCCAAGACCACCATGCGGCTCTTCTACCCTGAATCTGCCCACTTTGACCCCAAAGTGGAGAACAACCCAGATACGCTCCTGGTCCTGGTAGCTTTCAAGGCAATGGACTTCCACTGGATTGAGACCATCTTGAGTGATAAGAAACGGGTAAGCAGAAGGGCAGATAGAAAGGAGAGGCCCCAGGGATGGGGACGCTGTCCAAGTCAGGCTCTCACGCCCCATAGTATCTGCCCTGCAGCTCTAAAGAGCCAGTGTAGGGACAGTATGTACTGGGCTCCCTGCCAAGGGCAGTGTCTTGCAGGGCTTCTGATAAGCCTCATAGCAGTCTGGAGGAGTCAGGCAGTGGCAGCCAAAGGCCCCCCACAGTGGAGGGTTGTCTGCTGCTGGAATGTGTCTGCCTGTGAGCTGTGAAACACCCCCAGCAGCTACATCTAGGCAGACAGGATACAGGCCAGGACAGTGAGCTCCACACCCTTCTCGATGGTCCCCAGTAAAGCCCACCCCTGCAGCGGCCATCTGGACAAAGCCTGAACTGTCCTATCTGGCTTGCTTTGTTTTGTTGAGACAACAACATCTCACTATGTTAGTCTAGGCTGGCCTTGACCTCACTGTGTTCCCTGGCCTGGCCTTGACCTCTGCCTCCCAAGTGCTAGGATTACGGACATGCACCGCCTGACCCGGTTCCCAGTCTGACATTTTTTACCAAGTGTTTAGACAGTTTAAAACATAGCAGGACCTTCTTCCTGTTTGGGTATCCTGGTCGAGGATAATGGTTGTACTGTACACACCTTGTCAACTGGCCTCGCCAGAGGTGTGCCCTCTTTTCCCCTCACTTCTCCCCTCTCGTTCCCCTTGGTGGTCTCCCTTCCATCAGGCCACCTCCTTTCCCTTCCACCTGTACTCCGGAGGCCTCTCCTTCACCTGGGTCCCACCCCTCACTGAAGATTATCTCGGCTGGATTTGGAAAACAGATCTTCACCTGCCATCATCTCTGTCCCTTCACACTCTATCACCTAGGTGCAGAAAGGCTTCTGGAAGCATCCTCCCCTCATCTGGGATGTCAACCCAAAGCAGGTTCGGATTCTCAACCCCTTCTTCATGGAGATTGCAGCCCACAAGCTGCTGAGCCTGCCGATGCAACAGCTGCGCAGGGTCAAGCAGGTGAGGGCAGGCGGGGAACTCGAGGAAAGCCACGGAGGGAGCCAGGAGAGGGGTCAGCAGTAAGAGCTGGTGCCTGAGCTTCTGAGCACACCTGTAGCCAAGGGCAGGCTTCTTAGTGGGCCGTGCAGGGAAGAGTGCGAACCTTGGGGAACTGAGGCATCTTATAGCCAGCAAAACATCTCTGTTGGGCTCAGGGCTGGAGTTAGAAGCTGGGTTTGGCAGGCGCTGGTCAGAATCTGGAAGGTAGTTGCTGCTGGAACAGTCACTGGTCCCATCTTTGGGGCAGCTTGAGCCCATACAGATTTATCAGTAGGCACTGAACCTGTGATCTTATCTTGGAAGGTGTTAGTCTGATGAGTGGAGAGTGCATTTTGACTTGCTCTTTGTGTTACGGGTTGGTATGATGGTGTTTACAAGTTATCATTTTGATCTCAGCTCAGTGCCAAATGGTCTTCAGCTAGTGGCCTTTAACCCACTTGGTAGCTTCCCAAGTACCTCTCCCCGTTTCTTAGACCCCCTTGGTGGGTGGGTGCAGGACTGTGTGGATGCTGGAGGCAGTGAGCCAGCATTGTAGACAGGACTTTTTTTGTTTGTTTGTTTTTTGTTTTGTTTTTCTTCCGATACCAGGAATTGAACTCACGACCTTGTGCTTGCCAGGCAGGCGCTGTGCCTCTGAGTTAAATCCCCAGCCCCCATAGACAGGACTTCTATACCATTTATCATGTGGCATTGAGTAGGTCAACCAGTGGACCCTCAGTTTTCTTGTCTATATGGTGGGGATAATATTCACACCAACCTTTTAAGGCTACTGTGGAATTTAAGAAGATAGTTATTATATAAAACGCCTGTTGTGGGGAGCGGAACACAGTACCTGTTCAGTAATGTTTGTCAGATGTTGAATCCATAATTTTATTCTTGGCAATATCTACTGTTAATTGACTCCACGTGCTGAATGCCTGTTTGCACCACCCTTTCGTGCTGGGCCCCAAGCCTGCATGCTTGGTTTTTCTTTTTGGTTTTTCTCCGGTACCGGGAACCGAACTCACGACCTTGCGCTTGCCAGGCAGGCGCTTTGCCGCTGAGCTAAATCCCCAGCCCCAAGCCTGCATGCTTGGTAGGTGAGACGTGCAGTTTGCCCCAAGAAGACTCAGTTCAGCAGAAAAAGCCTACAGTTTGCACTACGGAGGGTAAAATACTACAGTAGAGTTGTTCCAAGTGCTCTGGGAGCTCAGAGCAGGGGCAGACCTCAGCCGAGGGCTGTCTGGGGGATTCCCAGAGGAGGAAGTACAGGAGTTGGGCCCTGACAGTATGTGGCCCAGCAGGCAGGCAGGGGACGGGGAAAGGCAGTCCATTTGGTAAAGCCAAACAACTCCTCTAGCACCAAGTTGTTCTAGTGCAAGTGAAATTGAAATTGAGGGGATCAAGGAGGACTTCTTGGTATGGATAAGGGTGTAAGTGGAGCACAGTCTAGAAAGAAAGACACAAGAAGTTAAGGACCTGAACCCCGCTCTAGGAAGGCAAGGAGGAACTGGGCAGTACTTGGTATTGTATTGGTTTTCTGTTGGTGCATAACTAATTAGCTTGGGGTTAGTGACCTAACATAACCCATGGCACTTATGGTCATTCAGGCTCTCTGTTTAGGGTGTCACAAGGCTGATCACAAGAATTGAATTTTTGTCTAGAGGCGTTAGGGGAAAGCTTATTGCCAAGCTCATTCTGCTTATTGAAGAATTAGTTCCCTGTGGTTCCAAGAACGAGGTCCTCCTGTCCTTGCCGGCTGTCTGCATGGCAAGGGGACACCCTCAGCCCTCAGAAGCAACCACGTGCTTTGCAATGTGGCTCCTTCTACCTTCAAGTAAGCAAAAGCAGGACACATTCACCTTGTGCTTCAAATCTTTGACTTCTAATTCCAATCTCAACACGCAGATGTAAAGGCCAGCCCGTCAGGGTAGTCTCCATCTTATGGCCAACTGTGCCATAGGAAGTGTGTCCTGTTGGCAGGTTATGCATACCTGTGAGAGGAGGATATTAAACAAGGGTGAGCATCGTGGGGGCCCCTTACAATTCTACCTGCTATAACCTGGGTCTCACAGGGAGAATTGAGAGATGTATGACCTGCTTTGGGTTTCTGGCTTGGACAACTGCGTGGATGGTTGATATTTTTAACGAATAGATTGCAGGCAGGAGTGGGGGCTTGGTAAGTTTAAGGAGCCTGTGTCCAGGCAGAGTTGGCACCGTGGCTCTACAGGGCCCACGCTGGATGTGAGGACACAGTGGTGGTTAAAGCAGCAAAGGAGAAAAAGATGGCCCAGGCAGAGAGCTGAAGGAAGACAGGAGAACTTCAAAGGACTCCAGGAGGCACCTGGCACTAAGGGGGCTCATGGGCTCCAGGAAGTGGCTCCCCCGGGGGGAACGCACGGCTAATGGGCTCTGCAAAGCAGGTTGTTGGGGCTGAGGTACGTGAATTTCCTCATCTGTCAGTTTAGGGGAGGACTGTATTGTAGCCTGTTAATATTTAACATAAACCTGTGTGGGGCACATGCCTATAATCCCAGCACTGGGAGGCTGAGACAGGAGGATGACAAGTTTGAGCCCAGCCTGGACAGTCTAGAGAGACCTTGTCTTAAAATAAAAAATGGTCTGGGGGTGTAGTAGTTTACCACAAAGGCCTCAGGTTCAATCCTCAGTACCGCCAAATGAAATATAATTTGAAAAGGAAAAGGGGCTGGGGATTTAGCTCAGCGGCAAAGCGCCTGCCTGGCAAGTGCAAGGTCGTGAGTTCAGTTCCCGGTACAAGAGAAAAACCAAAAAAAAAAAAAAATTTAAAAAGGAAAATAAAAACAGTGCCTGACACATAATGTATGTTCAGAATATATTAGTATTATGGTGGTTGTCCTGATTGCCATTGTCTTTCCTAGATGCCCAGACCTTCTTCCAGTTGTCTGAAGTTGTAATACCCACTATGGTAGCCACTACAGTTCACGTATCTGGGTTTGAGCCTCTAAGGAGGACCATAGCAACCAGGATGACAATAATGACAGTCATCATACTAGTACTATAAGAGTACAAGCCCTTGGGAAGCTGAGACAGGAGGATTACAAGTTTAACTCCTGCCTGAGCTACTGAGTGAGACCCTGTCTCTAAATCAAAAAGGGCTGGGAAGCCAGGCATGGTGGTGCATGCCCATAATCCCAGCACTCAGGAGACTGAGGCAGGAGAATTGCTGCAAATTCGAGGCCAGCCTGGGCTACACAGTGAGACCCTGTCCTCCCCACCAAAAAAAGACTGGGAATGTAGCTTACTGTTTGGGTACCCCTGGCTTCATCCCCAGTACCACAATTTAAAGAAAAATTCAGTTCCTCAGTTGCGCTAACCCCTGTTCAGGGGCTCAGTTGGCTGGAACCTGGCCCCTGGGCCACACAGGTGCCATGTACTTCCTCGGCTGCACAGTTCCATCCCGGAGCATGGGCGTGGAAGACTCAGAAGGAGCAGGGCTTCCTCTAACACCTTCCCACCCCTGTCCTACAGAAGCCGACCACAGGCCTGCTGGCCATCACCATGGCCCTCCACCTCTGTGACCTGGTGCACATTGCTGGCTTTGGTTACCCCGACGCCTTGGATAAGAAGCAGACCATTCACTACTATGAGCAGATCACACTCAAGTCCATGGCGGTAAGTGGCCCTGCCTGGGGGCTTAGTAGGCCGGGTAGGTCTAGGGAACAGAGAGACAGGGGTGCTGGGAGAGAGGGGTGCAGGCACGCAGAGGTGGCTCCTGATGTGGTCATTTGGAGTCAGAAGTGGTACCGAGGCATCTGGTCTCCCCATTGTGCATCCTCTGTGTTCGTCCATTCAGGTTCTGTCTTCCTTCCAAGAGCCACTGCAGGAGAGATTTCCCAAGAAGACTGGGATCATGGGTAGGGAAGAGAGGCTTTGCTGGGGTCAGAGAGGTCCCTGGAAGCCCCTCAACTTCCTCCTCTGGCTCTCTCCACAGGGGTCAGGCCACAACGTCTCCCGAGAGGCCCTGGCCATCAAGCGGATGCTGGAGATGGGAGCGCTCAAGAACCTGACCTACTTCTAACTTGGCAAACGAACGTATCAATTGCTCGGCACTGCCCGGACAACCCCGTCCATGACTGTGAGAGTACCTGGTGCCAGCACTACCCACTTGGACTCACCCTCTCCTGTTTGGCAGAGGGGTCCCAGGGCTGGCCCAGCCTAAGACGAGTCCACACCCCTGGCTGCTCTCATGGAGCGCAGAGCCAGCCAGGGCACAGGCACTGGGCCACGGGAGCCCGTCCAAGGCAGGGGGCTTAGTGCTGAGGCATCCCCTCTCTGCCAGCACCCAGAGATTATTTAACGGACTATTTAATTATGACACAGGAGAGTGCTGTGGGCTGGTCCCATGGCATCCAGAAGTTTTTATAACTTACATGTGATGGGCCTCCCAGGAGAGTGGAGGTATCAGAGTGGGTAGGTGCCCTCCAGAGAGAGGTTGCTACCTCCCAGCGGGCATGGGAAGAGCACTAGTGAGGGGGGCCACCCAAAAGTGGACCTCATTAAAATATTTTTCCTAAAACGGAAGCAGTGGTGACACCCTGTATCCTTTCAGCTTGGGGAGGGTAGAAATGGGGGCATGGCAACATTCAGGCTTGTTAGACCTGGGCTTCGCACAATTATTCAGGGTTATTGCGGAAATAGTGCTTGGTGCCTGGGCATGCGTCTGGCATAGCAGACGAGCAGGTGGTGCCCAGAGAGGTCCTGTCTGCCAACATGCAGCCTGGAAGCCTGTATGCTGCTTGACTTCCTGGGGGAGGGAGGGAGCGGACCAGAGGATGCTAGATGGGAGTGGCGCAGTCCTTTCCTGTCTGTCTGCTCTCCCTCAGCATTCTTCACTTACCACAGTCTCATGCTGGGAGGTTCACATTTTTAAGGACCAGGGTGGGGCCAGGCAAAGAAAGCCAAGTTTCTCTTCTCAGATTAAGGGGGAATCATAAAATGGAGTTTATGAAAGGTCCTGCCAGGCCACAGGCTGCCAGAAGTTGGTGTGGGGCTGGAGGGCAGCAGCAGAGGGCTTTGGTGAGGCTTGTCGGCCAGTTGCCAGTTGCTGGATGGTGATGAGACTGTTTCTTTCCCAGGTCCCTAGAATCCTACCAGCCACCCTATTTGCCCGTCTTGCGCTTTGTTCTCCATTGTCCCAGACTGTGCTTCGCTGCTAAACTACCCACCCCAGCTATTCCTTTACATCTGGAGCCAGAAGGGAGCGTTGGAACTCCCCCAGGGGATTGGAACTCACATCTGTGTTCCCAGCTTTCTCGGAAGGAGCTTCAGCCTTGAGGTTTTGGAACAAGCCATGGTGGGACAGGACAATACCAAAGGATAGCAGTTTGGGAGGGACAGAAGAGAACGACACAGTTCTCTACAGTGTTGGAATGGCTTAGAGAACAGCCAACCTCATCCTGCAGGGAGTTCCAGGAAGTGGAACTGTTTGCAGTCTCAAAAGCTGGGACACTTTGCCAGTTGTTGCCCCCCATGGGAGGGGCATTCCCAAAAGAAGGAGTCCCTAAGTGTCTACCGCCCGCTCCATCCACCCAGGAGGGTAGGCTTCACTTTCCAAACCTTGTCTGGGACCCTGATGGGTTGTGAGTGTGTGCAGGGGTCTGCTAATACCCAGCTGCTTCTCAGAGTAAGCAAAGGAGCTTTGTGTGCCCGTCCAGATACTGAACATGCCTAAACCATGAGCCAGGATCCACACACAGGCTAGGGTCACGCTCTCCCTAACTCTGTACACACGGAGAGATGGGGGAGCTTTACATTTGGGTTGTTGGTGACAGTCCTTCAAGATCACATATGGATGAGGTGGGTGTACACCCCCCTCCCAGGCCATTGATGGCTAGGAAGGGGGATATAGCTTTCTCCAGGGCCCCCCAAAACCCTGTGTGGTCCGAGGCAGTGCTGGGCAGGATCAAGGCTGGGGGTGGAGCTTTGATGAGGAGTTGCTGGATGGAGTTTTTTGGTGTTCTGGGAAAAAGACATGAGCCTTTAGTTAGCCCAACCGGCTTGGATAGACTGCCTGCCAGCCTGCCTGGTAGTGATTAAACCGTGCCCTGAAATACAGCAGCAGGAGGAGGAGGAAAGGGAGGGAAGCACTTGGGTGGACGTCAGGAAATGGGATTCTACACCAGGCTGCTTCAGTTCTTTCCCGCTGTTAGATCTTGAGCGAATCAATTCTGGGTTTTTATGTCCTGACCATTTATTCCAGAATTACCTGGGATGATTTGAGAATAGAAATTCCTGGGTTTTAGGCCACTTGGGATGGAGCCCAGGAATCTGGGAGTCTCACAAACATGCAGAACCAGTGCCTTAGCAGTCTAGACGCTAAGATGACCTCACGGGCCTGCTTCAGCTCTGGCTTAGTCTGTAGTAAAGCCCACCCTAATCCTCCGCTGTCCTTGAGCTGTGTTAATTTGGTGCAGACGCAGGTTTCGCCTAGGGAGGGCGCGGGGGCGGGACAGCGCATGCGTTTTGGGCTCTGCTGGGCTAATCTTCGAGGTGTGGGAACTCCAAGGGACCCTTGCGAGTCCCTGTCTTGGGCGAGGGCGGCGCCTGCCTGGCAAGTGCTCAGGACCAGGCCCCTCTGCCTCAGTTTGCATGGGACCTGCAGTCTGAGCATTTGCAAGGGCTTTTCCCAGCTCCCCGGGCTGAGCCGCGTGAGCCACTTTGAATTCAGAGGCGGGGGTGATCTGGAGGATGCGAAGGGCGAAGACCTGTACTGTCCAGTTTAGATCCTAAGTGTCCAGCCCCTCTCCTCAGAGGTGGGCATTGAGACTCCAGCAAGGGAAGATCCTTCTCAGCCAATACCCACAAGCCGGGTGACACAGGCGTTAAGGTCTTTTATCTAATCCACATTGAAGTGATATTTTTTTAATATTCACATCACATGGCATTGTGCCTTAATTTTGGATACTTTAGATTTTTATTTGCACTTTCGGAGAACATTAGTACATTCAGTTGCTTTCCTGCAGAAACTGTCCAGCCTAGTGAAAGTCTGAGCTTGGAAACAGTACTGTGTGGCATGCAGTAAAGTAGTACATGTAAAATACGATGGCTGTCCTTCCTGCTGTCATTTAATTAGCCAAGTAAACCTCTGCTTTTCTATCTGGAAAGCAGTGCTATGCATGCCTGCCTCACAATGAAAATTTGAGTTCTAATGGAAGTCTGATTACAAAGACATTTGTAGTCTGGATAGTGTGATATAAGTAGGGGATTGGAAAGCTGCTTTGCATAATGGAAAATGCTGGAGAGTGTATGAAACAGGTGAGGTACGTTTGTGGGGCCAACTGTTGCCCAGGTACTGAGAAACAAGGCTGGTTACTGATAAGACAGCACCCACAAGCTAAGTAGAGGAAGGTGACTGTTAAATGACTGTCTGGCTTTGCATAGTCAATGGATTGTAATTATGCAAGACTGTTCTCCAGCAGGTTCAAGTTCAGGCACCTTTTAGGGGTTCTCAGAGAAAGAAGTTCCTTGCAAGATGCCATCCGTTTCAGCAGTGTAGGTTCTTATCAAAGCTTGAATAACACAACATCAGATTTTATAAGCTCTCTAAACCTTCTGACTCTGAAGGATTTTTTTTCCCTGTAGTGCTGAGGATCAAATCTAGGCCTCCAGCGTGCTAGCTAAGTGCTCAGCCCCTGAGCTGCCACCACCCCAAGCCTTTGAAGTCTTGATTATAGCTTCAGAAAGTTAGTTGTTAGTTTCAGACATCCCCATTGCTGTACAAGATGTGCTTCTAGTATAATCGTATATTCCTGATCTAATTAAAAGTTTAAGGTGTGTACAGACTTAGGATGACTTGCCTTTTTTTTTTTTTAACTTTACAGTGGTGCGAAAGCAATACACGTTCAGTAAAATCCATACTTCAGATCTTGAAATTTGATCTTCCTGGCCAGCAGTATGTGGTAGGTACTCTGTTCTCTTGCTGCTGGGCAGTGGTAGCAAACTATAGCTCCCGGTCAGCCAAGGTGGCCACAAGCGGAAGCCACCAATACTCCTCGGTGTGCTGTGTTGTGGTTAGATAAATTGAGTGCATTTTTGTTGTTGTAGTTGTCTTCTTTGTGACAGGGTCTTGCTGTGTACTCTCAGCTGATCTTGAACTCAAAATTCTCTGTCTCTGGAGTGTTGGGATTTATAAGCAAATGCAGGCAAGCCCAACTTCAATGTCTTGCGCCTCCTGTACTGGATTGACTTAATGATATTTTCATTTTACAAAGAGTGTATCAGGATAAGGCAAGGCATGGTGGTGCATGCCTCAGCACTCAGAAAGCTGAGGCAGGGGGGTTACTGTAAACTAGAGGCTAGCCAGGGCTACATAGTGAGTTCAAAGCCAGCCTGAACTACATAGCAAGGCCCTGTCTCAAACAAATAAACACACAAACAGAGTATCAGGATATAATACAATCATATTTATATACTTATAACCTCATATTTATAACCCCATCATAATTGAGGAATTTGATGAGGAATTTCTTTGTGTACATCTGTAGGTAAGCCAGTTTTCCTGCCCACTTATTTCTCAGTAAAGAATCTCACTTGCTAGAAATCTTTGGGATTCTGCACCCAAGAAATAAGGTGCACTGGCCATGGTGGTGCACTCCTGTAATCCCAGCACTTGGGAGGCTGAAGCAGGAGGATTGCCGCAAGATTGAATTGAGCCTGGGCTACATAGTGAGTTTAAGGCCAGCCTGAGCTCCTGTGAGACTGTGTCTCATCTGCCTCCAAAAACAGAAAAGAAAGAAAGTGAAGAGATGAACCTTGAATCTTACTAAAGGACAGATTTGGGAGAAGCTCAGATGTTTTGGAAGGCTCCGCCACTGCACTTAAAGGGACAGCAAAGAGTGGGAAGCACCTGGAACATCCTAGAGTTCGAAGGGCAGCAGGCCTGTCAGAAGGGCTTGACGGGGCCTTTAGGGAAACAGGACTCTGGGAGACAGGTGCTGTGTTTGCGTTGTGTCAGATTCCTAAGGAAAGCTAACAACTTAAAGGACACCCACCACCTCAGCAGAGGCCTGACTTCCTCTCCAGAGTCCTGGGGACTGGAAGGGTGGCCCCCGGCAGAGAGAATGAGAAGGCCCAGATGTTGAAACAGCCCTGGGGATTGGAGTTGGAGTTATTGAGCTAAGCTATTCTAGAACCATTTATTATGATGAGGCTTCTCCAAACATGGTTTGTATCCATGACCATCTTTAACACTTGCAGAATGGCCTCACTTGCTTACAGAATGGGTTTTCTGTGCTGGGCATGGTGGCACATGCATGTAATCCCAGCCCTCGGAAGGCTGAGGCAGGAGGATCATTGCGAGTTCAAGACCAGCCTAGGCTACAAAGTGAACTCAAAGCTGGCCTGAACTGCATCATGAGACCCTGTCTCAAAAAAAAAAAAAAAAATTCTTGTTCTCCGGCAGCAAGGTTCTGGCCCCTAAAATGCAAAGGTGGTGGAGGTGTTTCCTAGTCCACCTGATTTTGTCTTTAGCTTATTGGAGATAATTCCCGTGGGGGTGGACCCCTGCCTATATTCAGCAGCTGTCCTGAGTAGAACTTTTCCTCTTGCCTAACTGGAAATAGATTTCACAAAAGCCCCATGTCATTGAGATCATAATTCTCTCAATGAAGATCTGGCTCTCCTGGACTTCACTTAGCATCTCTTTGAATATTAATATGTTACATTTGTCACAAGAACACATTTATAGAAGTGCGTTCTTTGCATGTTCTCCTTTTTGCATTCCAAGATATTGCCAAGAGCCATATGGTTACGTAGCAGCAGAAGGAATTTTTTGCATTTGTCTGACGTTCCCTGGTCATGGACGTTGAGGGGCTTTCTTGACCCAGGGATTGAGGATGTCCTTGCCCTGGGAGGGGATGCATGTGGACTGTGCTTGAGAAGGACACTGGCAGGGCTGGGGATTCAGCTCAGCGGCAAAGCGCCTGCCTGGCAAGTGCAAGGTCGTGAGTTCGGTTCCCGGGACTGGAAAAAAAAAAAAAAAAAAGAGAAGGACACTGGGGACATGGGGTGGCAGGTAGGCATTCACAGGGGTTCCAGTGTAGCCAGGAGTAGCTGGGGTGTCACTCAGTGGTAGAGCCCATCTTTAGCATGTACAAGGCCCTGGGTTCAATCTCCAGCACTAGGGAAAGTGTACATACTGTATATATAACATCAAGGATGTAGATCACAGTTGGCTGATGTGTCTTGTGAATGGTGTATACTCAGAAATGACCCCTTGTTTGCCTATTTTGCAGTGCTGGGGATCAAACCCAGGGCCTTACACATTCTAAGCAAGTGCTTTGCCATGAACTATACCCCATTCCCTCAAAAAAAGCCTTTTCGAGATGATGATTGCGGTAATGCTAAAAACCGCAGGGTAATGAAAGCTTGTATGTCCAAGACCTAGCATTAGAGAGGAGGGGAGGTGGATTGAGAAAGAATAGCAATTATCGAGGGAAAAAATTGATGGTCCTAAGGCAAATAAGTCCTTATCCAGGGAAACAATCCTTAGATTGTGTAGAAGGAAGAATAAGTTGAAATATTTTCATTTTTCCCAGTCTATAACCTGGGTAGGAAGACCAGAATATAAGGAGCTGGGAAAAGATGGTCGGAGCCTTCCTGGAAAGAAGCAGCTCTCAGCAGAGAGCTCTGTGACTCCCAGAGATTGCTGCTGGTTTTGGTGTGGAGCTGCAAATGACCAGTGTGTGGTTACAGGTTCTGAAACCAACTCAGATAAGAGGCATCAGGGCCAGGGATTTAGCTCAGTGGCACAGTGCCAGGCCGGCAAGTCTGAGGTCCTGAGTTTGATTCCTGGCACCAAAAAAAACCGAGGCTTTCAAACCGCTTTTTAAAGGGGAAGGAAAAGCCAAGATTTAGTTGCAGTGCCATTGGTCTACATTTAAATGTCTTTTTCGTTTTGGTTTTTTTGAGACAAGGTCTTGCTATGTAGTCCAGGCTGGCCTTGAACTCACTATGTAGCCTAAGCTGACCTCAAACTGACGGCAGTCCTCTTGCCTCAGCCTCCCGAGTGCTGGGATTACAGGTGTGTGCCACAACCACCGGCTGGCTGTTTCTTTAAATAGGCACACCAAGTAGCATTTTAAATTTAAAAAATCTATATACAGATTAAGAAATGTGTATATTTAAATATCTATACTTTTATTGTAATAGAGTTTTGGGGTTGTAGGTGTGCCTCAGTGATGGAATTCTTGTCTAACATTCTTGAGACCCTAGATCTGATGTCCAGCACTGCAAAAAAGTAAATAAAATAAATAAATAATGTTTTCTTTATAGGGAACATTTCTAGAGGAGACACCAGGACAAAGGACTGTCCTTTGTCCTCAGCGGTGCCATCACAAACATTACACATATGGGAAAGAGCTAAAACATACTTTGTGGTTTGCATTCGCATTCCGTGTCGGCAAACACCAGGAGCAGCAGGGCCCCCCTCCCAACCAGGAAGAGGGAGATACAGTCCTGCCACCACCCTTCCTTCTGTGCTGCGCAATCCCAGGGTCTCATCGGGTTCATTTTCATTTCCCTGGTTCCTTTTCATTGCAGAAACTCAAAGGAGTTGAGATAGTCTTCTGGGCCTATCGCTGTATAAGGTTTGCTCAAATAGGCTTCATCAGAGGTGGAGTGGATGTGGCATTTTAACTCTTTGTGTGGGAGCACTTCCTATTCCATGGAAGTTGCAGAGGTGGTGGAAAGAACTCTGGCCTTCACAGACAGATAGCGAGCCTGAGAATTAGAATCCGGGCCTTCAGCCAGGCTCTCTGAGCCAGCAGTGAAGTTAAAGCTATCAGAAAACTGGATCTTGGCCTTGGCAGGGAAGGGGCTGGATTGACACACAGAATAGCTTTGTTTCCCAGGGAGTTGTGGTCTTTCCAGGTCATTTGGGGACTTAAGGAGGAGGATGCCAATCCCGCCTTCCTAATGGAGCCGTGGCTTGTCCTTGTCCTTACCCAGCCTACCCCAGAGCAGCTGCTAACAGATGGCCTTTACCAGCAGCCACTCCTGTCTGCATTCCAGGATGAGTGGCTTTGCATTTGCTCTGTGGGAGGGCAACATCTTAGGGTGGAAATCGAGTGTGTTTAAAACTCATGTTTGCCACTTTTAGCTCAGTGACCTTGGGCAAGTCTTTCGGTTTAAGTCTTTTTTTTTTTTTTTTTTTTTTTTTCCCTTCCCTTCCCTTCTCTCTTGTTCCCCTTCCCACTTGAACATGTTCTTCCTACCCCCTAATATCTATCCTCCATTATGCTCCTCACTGACCCTTTGGATTTCTCACACAAGAGAAGCAATGTGGTGTTTAAACCTGTATGTCTGATTTATTTCTTAAGTGTCATTCTTTAAGCTTCACAACTCAGTTTGAGTTCTTTCTCAGTGGTCCAGAGAACCCCAGTCCATGCTAGCATTGTTCCCTCTCATAAAGTCTGTACTAGTGACTATCCCTTTGGGGATTCTCGTGGTATTTGTGCATGACAGAGCTCGGAGTGTCGGGCCTCCTGTAGCCTGGTACCATGGCTGCTCCCTGCTCCTTGTTAATCTTCCATGACCGTCCACATTCTTATCCTGGGAGTGTGTGAGGGAGAAGAGCTCATTTTGTTTCACCGACAGATTTCTTCCTCATTCTTCTGGTTATTCTGTCATAACCCTGGGTTCCAAGAAACAATGGAAACTTCCACCCTCTAGGTTGGGCAGGGGCAAGAGGCCCAGGGTCAAGGCAGGCTTTAGTAGAGGGTGACAGGTAGATTGTCCATCTCCAAGTTGAAGACAAGGAGAAATGGATGGAAAAATCTTTAAAAGTTATAACTCCCTTATTCTAGTGCATCGAGACATTTTGCATATGGTCTTGGATACTTGTTTCCTATTGCCAAAGGGAAGACATGTATGGGAAGAGGGGAAGCTTGACAGAATTAACCTTGAGGGGACAGAGGCCAGCAGTCAAGCTGGAATGTGGGATTGAGATGTGCACTTTCATTCCTGATGGGTTTCTACTCTCTTGGATGTAGGAACTGCAAAGGAAGCTATCCAGGGATGCGGGTAATTTTGAAATACTAGGATATATGATCAAAGCAGAAGTCCTTTGTGTGGAAAAGCTACGAGGGCTATGCATGGAATCTGTTTCCTGAAGCTGAGTGTGGTGACTCAGGTCTGTAATCCCAGCACTAGGGAGGCTGAGGCAGGAAGATTTCAAATTCAAGCCCACCCCAGAATCATGACACTGTCTCAAAAAGCAAAAAAAAAAAAAAGGTACAGATTGGTGGATTGAGGTCACCCAAGGAATTGATGTATGAAAAGAAACACAGATATTTTCACTGATGGTTTCATGTTGAGTACAGACTACCAGGGAAGGTTTACAGCCAACTGGGAACCTCCAACCTTAGGAATGCATTCGTCATCTTTTTTTTTTTTTTGTCTTTTTGAGACAGGGTCTTGCTATGTAGTTTAGGCTGGTCTTGAGCTTACTTTCTAGCCCAGGCTTGTCTCAAACTTGCAACAATCCTCCTACCTCAGCCTCCTGAGTACTGGGATTACAGATGTGCACCACCACGCCTGCCTCTTCACCATTCTTAACTTGCCTTTGTTTACCCATCCCATCTGCCACGACTATACCAAGCTTCCCACTCCAGCAAGGCGATTCATAGAATGATTTTTTTTTTGAGTACCAGAAATCAAACTCACCACCTCGTGCTTGCCAGGCAGGTGCTGCACTGCTATATCCCTGGCCCCTAGAATAACATTTGAGTCCCATGATTGGTGGGCTACACTCTTCCAAGGAAGCCTCCTCCCTCCCAGAAGCCCAAGGTGGAGGGATTTTCCTTTGCATAATATTGCTGATGGTAAAAGCTAGAATGCCCTGGCCAGTGTCCAACCTGACCATGTTGCTGTGATCATGTTTAGCAGGAGTTAGCGGTTTTCCCCTTCTTTGGTGTGAGGCCTGAGGGGAGGGGAGGGGAGCCTGCCTGTAGGTGCTGTTACCACCCCAAGCAGACCTGTCAGTGGTCCTTCTTGTCTGGGGACGCAGGACCAAAGAGGGGCAGAGCACCTTGGGTTCCCAACACATGCTCAGAGCTCTTCAGGAGTTCTGTGCCTCCACAGGAACAAAGGAACAAAAGGACCAAGGGCCTTGTTGGGGTGAGGGGCCTGACGTTTATTCTCAGGTGGTGGGGGTCGGGGGGTGCAGATGAACTGTTCCTCTGGCCCATGTGTCTTGCTAAAGACAGGATCCCTGTTCCTTGTGCTCACCAGCTGAGAAAGCAAGTCTCAGAAAGGCCTGGCCTCCAGCCCCTCAGACCACACCCACAGGAAACACTCCAGGGGCCCTTCAAAGAACCCTGACCAGAGAGACTCACACACTCCTTATATTAACTCCAATTGTGCTGCAGGGAGGAGAGGGGCACACAAAGCAGGGCAGGGGGAGGCCGGGCCTGGGGAGGGGTGTTGGGCGAGGAGTCCCCAGGCAGGCGTTGTTCACACTCTGTTCCCAACTCCCTCCCCGCTCCCCTCCCCGCTTCTTCCGCAGGCTCTGGGCCAGTCCCACTTCCAAGTCCAAGGACAGAACGGCAAGAGTATGGACACAAAACACCAAACGAACTGGGGGTGGGCTCCTGGGCAGCGTGTGCCTTTGGCCAGGGCTTCTGGCTTCTCGGCCTCCAACGCCTGGGCTGTGAGCGGCAGGGGGAGCTCGGGTCTCTGGAGCACTCAGGGCTATGAAGAACTCCCCCTTCTCCCAGACTGTCTAGAAGCACAGGCACGGGGGAGGGCTGCCGGGCAGGAGCGGGAAAAGCCCAGGGGGAGACTGGAGAGTGGATGGCAGGTTCATGAAAGCAAAGTTATAGCTGCCACAAGTGCCCGTGGGAGGAGCAGATGGTAGAGGGGCATCCAGGGAACGGTGGGGGACAGGGCGTCCAGCACCAAGCACAGGGCACTTGTACATCCTCTCTGCATTTCCCGCCTACCCGGCCCTTCCGCCTCTGGCTTTGCTGCAGCTGGGGACTCAGGTTTGTGCTTGATGAGAGCTTCAGAGGAAGGCAGTAGCATAGGCGCTCACAGGCCGTCCTAGAGGCGGCGGTTCTGGGATCCTCTGCGAAGTAGCCCTGTCCTTGGAGACCCAGCTGGCACCCTGCCCTCCTGCCCTGCTCTCCTGCCCTGCTTGTCCCCACTGGAGGTGTGTGATCCTCAGACGTGAGTCTGCATCCTCCGCTGCAGGGGTCGACTGGGGTCGGAGTTCTGGGAAGAAGACTGGGAGTGGTGGGAAGAGGAGGCGGAGGCCTTGCTGGCCTTGTCGAACTGCACGTAGCCATCTTGCTTGCCGCTGCTGCTGACGCTGCTGTCACACTGTGTGTCCAGGAAGGAGCTGCTGTCGCTGAGGGAGCCCCTCTGGAACTCCCGTTCACAGAGCTCGATGGATGAGCTGCCCATGCCCAACACGAACCTCTGCCCGTAGTCGTAGAGGCGGCCCTGGCCGCTCAGGGTGCTGTAGATGTTGGTGAAGGACATGCCTGTGGGCACGCGCTGTTTGCCCGTGGGACGCAGATCTGGCTGACAGCTGGACAGGGAGATGGTCGGGGTCGAGTGGTGCTCTTTGAAGGTGTTGACGCTGTAATAGCCATTAGTGGGGTCCTGGGGAGCAGAAGGGGGAATGCACTGTCAGTGAGACTTCACTGGTCACAGGGCAAAGAGGAAAGAAGTAACTGGGGAGGACGGGGGCCTGAACAGGAGGGGTTAACGCAGCAGCGGAGACCCCAAGAGCAGAGAGGCTGGCCCAGGTCCAAGTAGCTGCAGGGACAGTTAGGCACTGGAGGGAGGGAACCAGCAGCTTCTGACGGATTTATGTCAGGGCACTAAAGGTCAGTAGACAAGCAGACTTTCTTTTTGTGTGTGTGTTTGTCCAGAACATACATAATGAATTTTAAAATTTATTTGTGAGGAGGCGTTGGGGGAATGCCTGAGGACAACATTGAGGAGTGTTGCGGGGACTCAGACTTAACAGCTCCTAGGGTTAGGGTGGGGAGGATGGGTGTCTTGGCTGGGGAGCACCCACCTCAAGGAGGAGACACATGCCTGTCCCCAGGCTGTACTCTGGCCTTCCCTTTCTCATACTTGTTGTTATTCTTTGTGCAGACTGGGCTAGCACCGCTAGAGCTAAAGACCGGATTCATGGCCATGTTTTATAACCTGTGGTTACTCTTACCTTGAGGTTCTGAAATTCCTTCTCCTCTTCTTTGAGGACCTCCAGCTGCTTCAGTACTGAGTCTTGTTGGAATTCACCCCGGTCCATCTACAATCCAAAAATGGCTGCTCAGGGGATAGGAAGTGGGCTCAAGGCCACCCCCTCCAAGGAACCGATAAGAAATGAACTTAAAGGATCACCATATATGCCCTACCCTCCACCCCTTCCTGTCTGAACCACAGAAGGAATAAGGTTCCAGATCTCATGAATGTTTCTGGCACCAGTATCCTAAAAGACAGAGAGAGGCAGGGAGGGAGGGAGGGGGAGATGTCTTCCTGGAGGTCTTCATGGCCACACTCTCTTGGGTTGGGCAAGGGCATCACCTTCAGAGATCTCATTTGGCTGATTCATTCAGTCCATTGAGCATTTATTGAGAACTTGTAGCCAGGCCATGTGCTAAGGACTAGGGATACACAGATGAAAATTTAGGACAGTTCATCGACCAGGGCCAGGCTTCATCATGGACTGAAACCTGTGAAACCGCAAGCCAAACTATGTCTTTCCTCCTTTCAAGGCGATATTCTCACCGTGACCTAACATTAATGCACACAATGGGTCACTCTGTTATTCACAGCGATGACTCAGCTGGACCTGAGTCTTTTTCCCAACAGATGCCAAACAGCCTGCTAGGGAGGAGCCCTTTTTGCTCTCCTGGAGTCTCCAGCACTGTGGGTCCAGTTCCTTGTATGTGGTTGTCAGTGACTGAACTGCTTTTGGAGTGGGCTGTTTTAATTCTGATTCATCAAGTGTCTAGCACAGTGCCTGACATAGAGTAAGGCTGTCCCAAATGTTATGTTTATATTGAGTGAGCAAAGCATGAGTGAAGTGGCATAGTTCCAAGTCACTGAGAAGAATAATTGGATGTCAGCTAAAAAAAAAAGCATAGTAACATAAATTACTTTCTATGGCTGGGTGTGGTGGCATCACCAGGATGTGGTACCTCCAGTAATCCCAGCACTCAGGAGGCTGAGGCAGGAGGACCCAAAGTTTGAGGCCCGTTGGGCTACACAGTGAGTTCAAGGCTCGCCTGACTACATAGCGAGGCCCTGCCTCACAAACACCCAAACTAACAAACAAAGCCTCCCATTATCACTTCTACTAATTGCATGGTCCAGTCTAGGCTCCCACCCACTCTTGGAGCAGGAAGTTCCTTCCTTGCAACTTTCATCTTTGCTTCTTTTTGGAATCCTGCCACCTCCTTACTTAGAATACTGCTTTTTTCATTTTTTAGTGAATGCTCTGGCTTTTTCTGTGTTGGACAATGACATCTTCTTTTTCTCCTTCTCCTTCTCCTGCTCCTCCTCCTCTGCCTTCCTCTTTGTTTGAGTTGGAGATGAAACTCAGGACTTTTGCACTGAGCTATTTGTCCAGTTCCCCATCCCCATTCTTTAGATTTAGAGATAGAGTCTCCAGAAATTGTCCATGCTGGGCTTGGACTTTCAGTCTTCCTGCCTCAGCCTCCCAGAGTGCTGGGATTATAGGTGTGTGCTGCTACATCCAGCCTGGAGTTCTTTTTTCTCACCAGATTCAACTGTTAGGCTTTTCTTGCCTTGATGGAGTTGTTTTCAAGATCAAAGGGTGGAGCAGTGGGGGGATGAAGATCTCCATGGAGGAAGCTAGCCACAAGAGCCTGCAGCGAGCCCCACCTGCCAAATTATCCCCTTCTTGCTGGAATCCTGGGTGACCCCCAGTCTTTCCTGAGGGTGTGGAGTTGTGGGAGGTGAGCAGAATGTCCCAAGACAGAGAGAACTCAAGGGCTCATTCGAGCTGAACAGTAGAGGCCTGCTGGAATTTGTACCGTGAAGTTCATTCCTTCTGAGGTGTGGGCTGTGGTTTCCCTTCTTAAAAAACTACACTGGTCGCTGTGTCAGGCATTAAGCTTGGCCTTAGGGGAAACAGACAAGTGCAGACTCAAGAGCATAACCTTTGCCCCTGAGGAGCTGGGGCTGACTGGAGAGGCTGACCTGTCCTTAGGCAATGCACTAGGAGAGAGGCCTATACGAGTGTTTCTGGTGGAGCAGAAAGTTCCCAGCAGTGATGGGCTGGGAGGGGCTGCAGGAATCACGGAGCTGACAGTGGAGCTGATCCCTAGAGCAGAAGGTGAAATTCAGCAGGTAGCGGGAACAGCCTGTGCACAGGCTTTTGAGGAGTGAAGGACTCTGAGACCATGAACCACAGACTCTTTGGTACCCCTGGAAAGCCAGAGATACTGTGTGGAAGACGGAGCTGGGAAAGCCGGCAGCTTCATCACACGGAGGCCTGGAGACAGGCCGGGCAGCTGGACTTCATCCAGTAGTCCTGGAGCCACTGGGGGACCGAAGTAGGACAGTCACAGTATCTGATTTGCATTTTAGATGGACCCTTCCTTGCAAGGCTCTGGAGCAGGATTGAGAAAAGTGGCAAATGCTGAGACCAATTAGGAGGCTGCTGTTGTAGTCCAGGGGAGCTATAACAAGCCTGAGAGAAGGGAGTGACAGTGGAGGGGCGGCAGGGGACACACATTTGAGACATTTTTCGAAGTGGAATTGACAGGCCCTGAAAATCAATTGCATAGAGAAAGAGTAGCAGAGGGAAAAGTCAGTTCAATTCAATAAACATTTGAGAGCAGCTGCTGGGTAAGAACGAGGCAGCCGTTGCTCACCATCTAGTGGGTGATTTCAAAGCAACACAAATGAGCTAACAGTCAGCCTCTGAGCGCTCGGTCCCAAGTCTGTGGGTTCAGGCAGCCATCGGTCAAAAATATTTGGGAAAAATTGCGTCCGTATTGAACATGGACAGATTTCTCCTTTGTCAACATTTCCTAAACAATGCAACATAACAACTATTCACATTTCCTTTACATTCTATTAGGTACTGAGAGATGATTTAAAGAACATGGGTGGAGGTATGCAGGTTATTTAAAAGCCTTGAGCACCCTCAGATTGTGGCATTGTCAGGGCATCCTGGATCCAACCTCCAGATACCCAGGGACAACTGTAACGGTGTTCCATGTCTCCAAACTCTTCAGGGCTTTCCTGTTAACCCTCACTATCACTTCCACACCCATTTTGTAGATGAGCACACTGAGGTTCAGAGAAGCCCATACTTTTTGCCCCTGGCTCTGCTGGCACTGTTTCAATGTTTTCCAGCCACAGAGAAGTGTTCCAGAAGTTTCTGGTACAGTTGTCTTGGTTTCTGCCTAGGTGGCCGAGTGCATTCTGGTGGATCACAGGGATCGGCAGGTTTGGCATCAGTGAAGAAGTTTTGAATTGGCTTCTGCGGGGGGCAGTACAGGCCCCAAGGAGGAACTTAGGCTTTTTGGAGACTTCCATGGGGCTGGGGTGCAGTGTGCGTCAGCATGTAGGAGTGTATGTAGCACATACCAGGGCAATGTGAGCATGTGTCCTCTCCCTGTTGGATGGTCAAGCTCTCTGAAGGCTGGGACTGCGTCTGAGACATTTTGAGTCTCTAGCTCAATATTGCTAAGAACAATATTGCACAATATTGCAAGCATACATGGGAACATTTGCGGGCTGATACTGTCACCTGGCCTGCCAGAGGGCAGAAGTGGCTCTGCCTCTCTCAAATATGGAGGGATCGGAGAAGCCTCTGGTCCCAGGACCTTCTGGGAGTGGAAAGCATTCTTACCATCAGCTGCTTGATGGTGGAGTGATCTTCAGCCTCCCGGCCAGAGGCAGGCTCCTTGTGGACAATCTCCACTCGGATATCATTTTTGGCTGACACAACACCTTTGAGATCTGGACATAAAATTGAAAAGTGTAGCCACAAACTCAGTTCTTGATGTCAGGAAGGAAGGGTTGAGATGTCATGTTCCCCCAAGGCTGCCCCTCACCCCACCACCCCAGGGTTGACCCTTCCTTCAGCCCTTAAAATCAGCAGCTTCACCAGCCCCCACCCGTGGACCACAGGGATGGAATGCTGCGGGCTGTGTGGCCCTCATCACATTCACCTCCACGTCCCCTTGGTGGAGAGGGTGTCCTCATCCGTTTATCCACTTTACTGAGCTAAGACCGCTCATGCTACTGTCTTCCTTCTAGAAGTCTTCCCTGCCAGGCTCTGATTTCTCCATTCACAGAATCACAAATCCAAGTGTTGAAAAGGACCTTAGGATCCACAACCACCTCTCATCCACAGCAGAAGCACACACACAGGGGTCCAGCTTTCTGTTGGTGCTTTTGTGGTACAAGCCTGACTCCTTCTAAGGAGGCAGCTATTTCTACCTGAAGAACTACACTAGAAAATGCTTGCTACAATATGCTCCCCAGTAATTTCCACTGACAGGCACGGAAGGAGGTCCTGAGGCCATGTCCTTGGAGGTGGTCACAGCGGCCAAAGCTACTTGGCTCTGAGCGGAGAGCATGTGAGGGGCGGGGAACCTCAGGCTTCCTTCCAACATGTGGAGGCTGCCAGGTGGCCCATGTGGCAGACTTATTCTGGTATTCATTTTGTGTATTTTGCTTAGAGAAACTTAGAGGCGGAGAACTCCTAAAAGTCACTGCATCCAACCCCTTAACACTGCAGCTAGCCAGACATGGTGGTACAGGCCTGTAATCACAGCACTCTGGGAGGCTGAGGCAGGAGAATTGCAATTTTTAAAAATTAATTTTATTGGTACACTTTTGACACAGCATTGCAGTTTTGGGCAATTTAGTAACTTAATGAGACCCTGTTTTAAAAAAATAAAGTGGGCTGGGAATACAGTTCCATGTGAAGGTTCTGGGTTCAATCCCCAGTACCACACCCTCCCCACACCCCCACACCCCCCACACCCCCGACACACATGCACACACACATGAAACAGGCCTAGAATAAATGTGGCTTGCTCAGGGTCACATGGTGGAAGAGATAGGGCTAAAACCTCCACTGTCCTCCTCTCTCCTCTGCCTTCCCATCTTCCCCTGCACCTGTCTGTCCCTCCCAGGTAACTTCAGAGCTTAGCCCAGTCCTGAGGTTCTGGTCGAGCGACACCTCCAGAATATACAAGTACTATAGTTTACTTGTTAATGATGAAGGCCTTTAAAAGTTTGCTCTGAGCCATTCCTTGAATGTTTTCTGTCCCCTGTGTGGGTGACCTGCTTTTCAGGTTGTACCGGTAGCCTTTGCAGAGCAAAGGGTCAAACCATCTCCTTTCCCCCAATCCCAATACGGCCCTCTCAGTCCCCACTGAGAATGCTGTATGTGTCCTACCCGAAGCAACCGCTGCCTGCCCTCCCGAATGGCCAGTCAAGTCCAGCTCAGCCTCGGCTGAGTGCCTGCTCAGCACCAGACGCCCCGCAAGCCCTGTGTGTTACACCATACATCAGACCCAGCCCTGCCCCAGGAGCTCACAGCACAGGGCCCCTGCTCATCGCACTGCTGCTTACTTGCTCTCCGGGGCAGTCTAAGCCTGGCCTTTCTCTCTGTCCCCCTCCCTGAGATCCCGGGTCTCCCTCCCGTACTTCTCTGGGAACGGGCACAGCAGAAGGCCACGATGGTTGCCATTAGGACGAGGAAGGCCACGCCAGCTCCCACGGCCACCCCGATGATGACGGCCATTGGCACGGACTCTGTGGGAGAGAAGGACACAGCTGATGAGCGCCGGGGGGGAGCCCACTGCCCCCCAGAACCTCACTCATCCCCTTGGGTGCAGCATCTGCCACGTGGGTCTCTCTTGGGAAACGTGTCAGTGGGGACCCAGGCAGGCACAGGCAGAGTCCGACAGAGGTCAGCTCTAGCTGGGACTGCAAAGACAGGGTGGGGGACGTGGGGAGGAGGAGAGGGCGGGGAGGAATGTGGGGAGAGGGCAGAAGCTGGAGCAGACACAGAGAAGGGAGGGCCAGGGGAGAGGAGGCGGGGGGACGCAGGGCGAAGCTGTGTAATTTTGCGTTCTGACATTAAACAAGCAATCTATCCTGTAGTGGCTGCTGAGTCACCAGTCCTGCCTTGTCACCGAGAAATGACAGTGGTCACTGCCCTCGGCTGTTGCTTATTCCTTCTTTTTCTTCCCTTCCCCAGGTGCATGTGGGATGCTGTGGACCACCAGCTCTTAGAGTGTTCAGGTCTGAGACAGCTTCCCTTTGGTGCCTGCTGGTGACACTGTCTCAGGGGCCAGGTGGGCAGGATCACAGTCCCCCGTACCCTCATCTCTAAGGAGAGAAATGCCCTTGCTCCTTGACGCCTGGTCCTGCTCCTTCTCCATCAAGACCAGGCCTCTGAGCACCTGGGACCTGTCCTGGCGTGAGAGGACTCAGAACTCTGAGTAGCCTCACTCCTTGAGCTGTGTTTCTGCGGTCTGTCTCCTGCTCTGGCCCAGTGGGGGTGGGGTAGAGAGGGTGGGGATGGGTGAGGGATGCCTTTTCAGACAGCCTTGGTCCTTTTACGGCTGCATATGGGGCTTGAGCGCATGATTTGGGGTCCTGGATCCAAGCCTCTCATTTTTAGAAACAGAGATACTGAGGTCCAGAGATGTCAAGTGACTTGGTCAAGGACACATGGCTGCCTGTAATCCCAGCACTCTGGGAGGCTGAGGCAGAAAGATTGCAAGTTTGAGGCCAACTTGGGTAGCCTAGTGAGACTGTCGAAAGAAAAAGAGAGAGAAAGAAAGAAAGAAAGAAAGAAAGAAAGAAAGAAAGAAAGAAAGAAAGAAGAAAGAAAGAAAAAGAAAGAAAGAAAGAAAGAAAGAAAAAGACAGAAAGAAAAGAAAGAAAGAAAGAAAAAGAAAAAGAAAAGAAAAGAAAAAAGAAAGAGAAAGAAAGAAAGAAAGAAAGAAAGAAAGAAAGAAAGAAAGAAAGAAAGAAAGAAAGAAAGAGAAAGAAAGAAAAAGATAGCTGGAGATGTAGCTAAGTATGAAGGCCCTGGGTTCAATCCCCAGCAGGGGGAAGGAAAGAAGAAAAGCCACACACAGCTGTGGTGGACCAGGGTAATTCCAGGTCTCCTTTTGCTCCCTGATACCATTTGGCTCCACCCACTGTATCCTATGGCATCCTCCAAATCACACATGCTCTGTTAGCCCAGACTGCTGCTTGTCTGATTCTTGGCCCTGCCACTTCTAAGCAACGGACTCCACCTCTCTTATCTGGAAAGTGGAAGTAACCTCAGAAGTGTGATGGGGTTTAGATAATGAAGTAGATAAGGGTCTTGGAACAGAGCCTGGTTCCCGGCCTACTCAAGTGTTTGCTCTCCGTTATTGTACAGGAAGTGGGAAATGTGGCAGAACATGACTGTTCCTGAATGTCTCTTAAAGGAGAAGAAAGCTCCTTTGAAACCATGAGCTTGCTACCCACCCACCCCACATTCATCCTATGGAACAATCAGGTAATTTGTTCTGGCACTGTGATGAGTCTATCATTGTTGCTATTTTCTTTAAGGAGCAGAAGAGAGGGCCAAACCCTGAAACCCTGGCTCCTGAGGTGCTGCTGAGAGGCGGATAAGGAGGTGGGAGGCACCGACCAGACAGAGCTGGGGCCTCTCAGCTGGCAGCGTTCGGTTAACACTGCTCCATTCCTGGGCCACTCAAGGACTTGCACACCAAGCCCTTTGTTACCCACCTACTGATAGCCAGGGCCACTGCAGAGGTGACTGAGGAGGTGACCAGAGGAGGTGGGAATGGCAAACACTCAAGACTACAATGGGAGGTGTTTGGGTTGGTCTCACCCTTCAGGATGGAGATTGGGGATATGACCTCAGCTGAGCTTGTTTTGGCAAACTTGCTTCTGTCTTTAGGTTTGAATTCCATCTGGGAAGGGATGCTGCCTTGGGAGCTCATGGGTCTATGCTTTTGGATTTTATGAACTTGAGTTTGATTTAGTTTCCGATTCCTGCTAAGTTTCCCAGAAAAACTCAGGGCTTGTCTTGGCTGAACTCAGAGCTGAAGCATGACTGTTCCTGAATGTTCCCGGGCTACACACTGTCAGAGCGGAGACAGCAGTCTCTGGCGTTCCTCCTGACTGGCTCCGTTAGTCCTTATTTTCTCAGTGTGAACAGCAGGGACAGGGGTTGATGCGCTCTCAGGCTGGGGAACAATCCCCACGCAGGTAGGCAGGGACAGAGGAGGGGACCTGCAGGGGACAGGTGGCATCCCTTACATGTTCCCAGGGTGACTTCCGGAGGCCTGGCCTCCTGGGGTCTGTCCTTGGCTGCTCCTGTGTGGATACAGCACCCCGGGATGTGCCCCCTGCAGGAAGTGGGGAGAGGGGCTGCCCTGGTCAGCCTTGTCCAGCCAAGGAGCGGAGCTGAGCCCAAGGAGTCTCAGGCACCCAGGGCTAGAGGGGTCAGGGAGCTCTGGAGGAGCTCAACAGACACAGTCAGTGTAGGCGGGAGGAAGCTACCACCCTCAGGGCCAGGGTGGGCTGAGGGCTGATCCCAGCCACGTCCCTGAGTGGGCCCATGCGCTCAGAGGGTCTGGCATGGGGGACCCCCTAAGAGCTCATTAAGGGGGGCATGGGCCAGGCCGGAGCGGTGAACGGGACATAGGGCCTCCAAGTCCGTGGCGTTGGCTTGGTTGGCTCCGTGGAGTCTGATTTGCCACATTCCGACTTTCTCTTCTGGGTTTTCTGCTTGGGGTGGGAGTAGGCGACCGCTTTGCAGCAGCAGGGACGGGTAGGACACTGCCTGGCCACCGTGGTGGGGGAGATGGTCGAGGAAGAGGGAGGCAGCAAGGCGCGGCAAGCATGGGGTAGGCAGGCACGGCGGGGCCGGCGGGGCGCTGGGAGGAGGCAGCAGCAGTGTCGGGAAGCAATGTGGAGCTGGTGATGATGTTGAGGAGCAGGAGAGGTGGGGAGAGCCTGGAACTAGAGAGGCCAGGACGGGGCGGGACACGGGGCTTCTGAAGAGAAGGACGGGAGGAATGGAGAGGGCAGGAGCAAGAGCCAGTGTCCTGGGGAGCCCCAGGGGACCGGTCTCTGGGGTCCCCAGACCCTGGCTGGCAGGTCTCTGAGGCCCCTCCCTTGCTTAGCTGCACTAAACCTGGGCCCGGGGGCAGGCAGGGGAGTTAGAGGCCTGCACCTCCCTACCCTGGGGCCCTCCCCCACTAGCCAGGAAGTCCCACCCCGCAACCAGGGCGGTTCTCATGTCTCCTTTCGTACCTGCTTCCAGCCCGGCTCCCGACTTCATTTCCGAACCTGTTTGGGAATAAAGCAAGCGTCCACAGCCAGGGCCTGGCTGGCCAGGGCGGGGCAGGATGGGGGACTGGCCGTCTAGAGGGGTTGGGGACAGTCCCTCCTGTCTCTCAGACCGCTCCACAGACCCAGGCTCGCCCAGTTGAATTTGGGATTTATTCCCACTGACTAGGAGACCCCAGAGTGGGTGAGGACAGATGGAAGTCAAGTCTGGGAGAGGTGTGGGGTGGGTGTGAACACCGAGGGGAGGGCGCAGGGTGGGGGCACTGAGGGGAAGACAGGAGGGTAAGCAGCAGGGGCCAGGAGGGTTTGGATGATGTGTGGATGGTATTAGGCAAATTATGTGCAAAGCATTATGCAAAGCGGCTTCTGTCAAGGAAGAGGAGTTAGGAGGCCTGGGAGACATGACCTGTAGGTGTGATCACCCCCCCCCCCGAGGGGCTTGGCTAGGACCACCTGCTTGGCCCGGATCTGGTCCAAAGGTCCAGGCTTGCCTGAGCCCGTCCCCGCTCCTTTGTGGCTGAGTACGGGGTCGCCAAGGGGCAGCGTCTGCAGTCCGTTTCAGGACAAGGGGTGCTGCTGGCTGCACGTGGAGCTTTTCTGGGACCATCTCTTGGTGTCGCTCAGCGGCTCCTCACCCAGTAGTCTGTCCAGAGAGCTCTGAGCAGACACTGGGTTTCTCAGTGTCTGTCTGGCCAGGAGCTGGGGCAGCTGGCACGCTTGGTCACACTGGGGTGAGCCTTCCTCCTCTCTCTCAATACAGCTGCTCTGTGCCCTTCTGCCCAGAGCTGCTCGTCTGCTAGCGGTCTCCTTAGAGCTCAGTGGCCCAGCTGTCCACCTGGGGACTGCAGATGGTCTGGGCCCTGCCAGCACCAATCCCACAGGGACTGGTGAGCACCATTCCTTAGCTTTAGCTCAGGTGCCCTCCGCAGGACCTGTGGCTAACTAGATGGGCTTCTCTTAATGGGGCCTGGCCCCTGTCCCCATCATGTCCATGGCAGTGTGTTCTTATGCTCTGCTGTCATTGCACCCCCCAAGGACAGTGGGGCACCGGCCCAGGACAGGATGTGTGGAAGCCAGGCCTTTCTTAAGTGGTCAGGCAGCTGAGCAAGGTGATCGGCCCAGCTCACTCCGGTCACCACTCTGCGCAGTGGGGCACAGTTTTCTCCCTTCCCTGCTTCCTGGTGGAGGCCAGAGCCCCTTCCCTGGGGGAGCAGAATGAGGCAGTGCGGCAGGTAGGGAAGAGCCCTGCGGCTTGTCCTGGGAGCTCCCCCAGCCCCGGCCCTGACCTTGCTCCTTGAGCCGGATGATCTCAGTGTCAGAGCCGAAGCTGTTCCAAGCTGTGCAGTTGTAAATGGTCTGGAAGTCAGCCCGCACGATGCTGCTGATGGTCAGTGTGGAGATGACACCCTCCTCCGTGCTGACCGTCTCCACCGTGTAGCGCCCCGATGTCCCTGATTCCAGCACGTTCTCCTTCCAGGACCAGGCCTGTGGGGTGCACAGAGTTAGGAGCAGACGCCACCAGAGCCACACACCAGAACCATGGGCCACCTTCCTGGCTCTGCCGCCAACCCAGGAAGGCTCTCCTCACTGCTATCATCACCCACACATGTACACAGAAGGACTCGCACCCCCCCCATACCACAGGCATAAACACACATGTGCACAGACGTCACACATAAACACACCTATCTTTGTTTACAAAGAGACAGTGCAATTATTTTTTGCAGTACTGGGGACTGACCCCAGGGCCTCATGCATGCTAGGCAAGTGCTCTGCCACTGAGCTACACTCCCAGCACTTTTTATTTTCAGACACAGTCTAAGTTGCTCAGGCTTGGCTTGATCTTGTGATCCTTTTGCCTCAGCCTCCTGTGTAGCTGGGATTACAGGTGTGTGTGCAGCTGTGCCTGGCTAATTTGTTTTTAGAGTCATTCAATGAACACTGCATGCATGTCACTGTGTCAGCCCCTTGGACATCCCGGAACCTGGCAAGGCAAGTCTGAACCTGGAGGCACTAGGTGACCATGGAGTGGGGCTTCTCATGCTCCAGACTAGCTCCTTCCTGGGTGTGGGTCTGCCCAGCCCTGTCTGCGCCTCTCCTGGCTTCCATTTGCCAGATGCCAGCAGCACCCTGTAAGCGGTGACAACCAGAAGGCTCTCCAGGCAATACCCAATGACCCCTGGGCACAAAAGTGCCCCAGTTGAAAGCCACTACCTTAGGGTTAGCTATCTAGGAAGAGAAATACGGTGTGAAAATTCTGAGGAGTGAGTGGAATATTTTATAATGGGCATGTGTTACATTTACAGTGTTTTAAGTGTATGGGGAGGCGGAGGTATTAGTTCTATGTGCAATTCTTGCAATTTATGTAACTCTTTCAGCGAATGAAGCACATGCCCAAGATCAAGTGTAGCAGCAAGAGCACCATCTTCATTTACGAAGGCAGCAGTTTGCGCGTGCGTAGCCTGGCGTCTCACTGCGCATGCCTGGCCTACCTTAGCCTCTGGGCACTGCTGCCTGCAAAGCCTGCAGTCTTGACCCCTGGGCATCAGGGCTTACTGTTCCCAACACTGCTACAAAATATTCACTTTTCAGTGTTTTCATGCTGCGCTTCTGACAGCTTTAGGTGGATTTCAGTGCGAGACCCTCCCTTTAAAAAATGCACACACCCACGAGACAGAGTGAAGTATACTGTGCGGGCGGCTGTGCTGCTCCGCAGGGAGGGATAGGTGTGTGGAGGAAGGGAAGAGGGAGGGGATGGTCGTCTCGGCGGGGAGCCCGTGGGGCGAAAAGGAGTCCCCAGACTTAGGAGGACCGTGGGAAGTACAGGGAGGGGTTGCCAGCTACAAATTGCACATGCTTTACGACATTACCGGGCTGACCTTGAACCCAGGAAAGGGAAGACATCGTTTGTCTTTTCCCTCTTACTTGCTCTCTGGCTCTAGGACGCAGAATTCACGTAGAGCCATTAATATCGTAGCTCAGCAGCACAGCAGACGCATGCCTATTCCCAGAAAGGAGGCTGCCTGTGATTTTGCCTCCAGGATGTGTTCTTAAGGGGCAGAGCTGGTGTGCTTTTCCCCACGGAGGCAAAGGGGGCCTGGCTACCGGCAGCGGTGACCCCTGGGCACTGGGGACACCCCCCTAGCACTCACGATGCGGTCGGGAGGTGGCGTGCTCCGGATGAAGCACTTGATCTGGCCTTTTTCACCATGGAGGGCGTGCTGCGTCTGGGTGCTGGAGATGATGGGGGGCCCTGTTGGCGAGGCAGCATCACATTAGCGATCCAGGAAAGGCAAGTCCCCAGCTGGCTGGCCCCCTCTTTGGTGGGCTCAGAAACGTATTCATTGATCCAAGCGCTCGGCAAACATTTACGGAAGGCCTGTATGTGCAAGTTAGAGCACGAGGTAGAGGACTTGAAGATAAATTAGACATTCAGTTGTAAAGCTCTCAGGGGATCACGAGTGAATGCGGCAAAGTCAAAATCCCCCGAAGACATAAATAACTGTAATAAAAGGTGGTGAGCATTCATACCATAGAAGCAGGGCAGATAAAGTGCTAACCGACTTCAGAGGAGAGAGAATAATTCTATCTGGTGGACAGGGAGTTTTACGAAGGAGGTGGTGAGTCTGGGAAGGAGCAAGGGTAGGTGTCAGGATGACGGAAGACAGACTAAGGAATGTCACCCCCGCCCCGCCTTGGTCAGCTGTCGGAGCTCTGGCCATTTCGTAGATCTCCAGTAGAGGGCGCCCTTGCCCAACAGACTGGGTGTTCTCTGCCAGACCAAGGAGGAAGGAAGGAGAAGGAACGGTACTGCTCTGCTACCAATGGGGAGAGTCACCCCGGGTAGGTGGGGTGTGCTGGCCATGTTCATAGTCTCAGTCCCTCACGTGTCTCAAGAGAGCCTGGCATTCAGTCTGTTGCTAAATATATGCTCAGGCGGCCCAGGTGAAATTGCAGCTCCCAAACTGATTTCAGTATTAGATACTATCCCATCCAATCTGTGCATGTATGGTGGTGGTGGGGGAGGGATGGATGAGAGTGCCAGTCTCATTTGCAGCATGGGGCAGCCTGTTCCTTGCATTTTCTGTAAGTTCTGCCCATCATGTAACCCAGGTCTGTCCTGGCAGTAAAAGGGGAAAGGAGAAACTGCTAGTTGAGTCATTTGCTGCGCTAACTTCCTGGCTCCTGTGGTCCTTGCAGGGTTGGAAATCCTCGTCCCTTTCCCCATCCCGGGTGTGATGGCTGGGACTTTTAGATAGCAGGACCCAGAGGAAGGAAAGCTAAGAGCAACAGATCTGGAGAAGAGGCAGAATTATGCTGGGGAACAAAACAAAAATTGCTGCAAACCTAATTGCTGTTTATTAGCCACCTTAATTAAAACAGATTTGCATTTCTATGAGTAGCTCTCAGCCAAGGGGAAAAAAGGCATTGAGCGATGAGGATGAAGCTTCCATGGGGTTCAGGATGCACATGTCTCAGGGCTGGGGCTGTGGACTCCGGAGCCCCACGATCAGAGCTTCCGCCCTCAGATGACTTTAAGAGGGGGCTGAGCCCTGCTTTCCCCCTTTAAACCCAAACTCAGAGAGGCCTTTGGCCCAAAGAGGTGAGGGCTCCATGTGTTCGGACCCCGAATGGTGCTTTGTTTAGCTGCGGGGCTAAAACGTGATGCCACATCCCTGGAACTGTGGATTCCCCAGGGGTTTCAGAGTATTTTGAAAGCGATGGGCAAAAGCCATCGGCAAATGCAAATGCGTTTATGGGGAGTCAATCAGCCAGTGGCGGTTCATCTTCCCTTTCCTGTCGATACCAGGTTTGAGTCAGCTCAGTTGAGATCTGTGCCAGTTTGTTCCCTAGAGGGCTCTGGCTGGCAGGTGTCTGCAGGCAGCGACTGGTTGTGATGAGGGCTGGTTTCAATCTAGCTACTTTTACATCAGATGCCTTCAGTCCAGGCCGGGCCCCTGGCCACCAGCATCACTACCCCTCTCCCTGTTCTCAGGGTTCGGCACAGATGTCCCTTCCCTGCTGGGGGCTGCATTCTCCTCTCCCTGGGCCACTTCATCCAGGCCCCCCCCCTCCGCCTCCAGGCCCGCAGACATAGGCGGGTCAGGAGCCTAGTCCAACCCCTTCAGTGTTTCTCTGCCTGGCAGGGTAGGGAGCTCCTGCTGGAAGGGCTGGAAGGGAAACTTAAACCATGGGAAGACCCTAGGTCAATCTGCTGAGCCCAGTCCACGAGAAATGTCCTCCATGGCATGCGTCCCATCCTGCAGGGCAGTGATGTGGGGAGGGCTTCTCCCCTCCAGAAACCTCTTTCCATCTCTGCTAGGAGAGGCCTGCCTGTGTGTCTAAAAGTGACTGCAAAATGTCAGCGCCTCCTTCTCTACCTTTTCTGCCCCAGAAACAAGAATGCTCAGTTAACAGCTTCAGGCCTGGGGACATTGGAGGGCACCTGTGAGTCTGGGGGTCCCAGCCTGTGGACCGCAGATGGCAGCTGGCCTCCCCAGTGTCCTCCCCAGAGTGGGCAGTGGGGAGGGCACGGATTTCACTGTGGCCTGGCGCGTGGAGCCCCGTGTCAGACACTGGCGCGGCAGGAAAAGGCTGCAGCCTGTGTTGCCATGGATATACGGAGGCGCGATCAGATGCTGTTATTTTTAGCCTTGCAGTGCCAATTTATTGGCGGCATCCTGGGGACACACAGGAGAGGCAGGAAGGCTCCCAAGTCGGGGTTCTGCCCGGGACAGGTGGCCTGAGAATGCTCCGGGGTTTGGGTGGATTCACCTTCCCTCTGGGACTGCCATTGGCAGGGGGTTGGGGAGAGGGATGGGTGGAGGGGGAACTAGTAATAGGGACAGCAGGGGGTGCTGGGGAGGCACCAAGCTGGGCTTAGTTTTAGAGCAAATGGGAAAACAGACAAGGCTGTCAGTGGGCTGAGACGAAGCTAAGGGGTGGCTCATTTTCAGAACACAGCCAGCCCCACTCCATCCCGGCCCTGCTCTGCGGCAGGACCTGGAGGCTCCTCCCGCATGGGTCTGTGGCTTGGGGCTTTGGTCTGAGGTGCTGTGGTGGGCACAAGGGGCTCCCAGAGGGCATCCCAGAGACGGGGGTGAAGTCCCTGGAGAGGGCCGAGTAACGTGGCCCTCGCTCTTTCATCTCCTCAAGTGGGCGACGTTGTTTCCGACCACAGCCCGAGCACACGTCACAAGACACCGTGCCGGGCACCACAGCCTTCTCACGTCTGGCCCGAGCTCTGTGCGAGCAGCTCCAAGCCGCCTGCGCCAGCATCCAGGCCTAGTCTGATGCCTGCATCTCGACGGAGCTCACAGCAGCCACCGATCAGCTCCCAGCATGAAGCACTGGGTTGTGTCGCTGTGCACAGGTCCCCGGCCTCAGGGACCTTGCATGCTGGTCTGGTGACAGGCCCGCCTGGCCGAGCAGCTCTAACTCAGTGGAAAGAAGCTGGCTACAAGAAGAGGGAGATGGGCCTTCACCTGCCCTGAGGCAGGGGCAGGGACAGGGTGGGTGAATAGGGTAGATAGAGGGTATGGTCTCCTGTGACCAAGTCCCTGTCCATGCCGGGATAAACTCATCAGCCTCCGCTCTTAGGGCTGAGATGCCCCTTGAGTTTTTGCAGGGTCTACCAGTGTAGTTCAGGCTGGTCTTGAACTCATGCTAATCCTTGTGCCTCAGCCTCCTGAGTGCTGGGATTACAGGGGTACACCACCTTGCGGGGGTGGGCTGAGACTCTTGAAGGTAGCAGAAAGGAGGCAAAGGACTACCCAAGCTCTTCCTCCGTCTGGCCTGGGCCCTGACAGGGACTCCAAGAGGTGGATACAACTGCTCTGGACCCCTTGCTGGAGGTGGTAGCAAGGCCCACAACTGGTGACAGCCCCTGGGGTCTTCCTCTCCCCCTTCCACCTGGCCCACTCCGGAGGGGGTCTCACCATTGACAGTCAGGGTCACCTCTCTCTCCCCGGCTCCCACCCGGGGCACCACGGCCCGGCACACGTACTTCCCAGCATCCTCCTGGCGGACAGATTTGAGGGTGAGGGTCTTTTCATTGCTCAGGACCTAAGAGAGAGGGAGGGTCAGACACGGAGTGGTCAGGTGGCTGGAAGCAGGTCTGGGGTGTTGGTGTCCAGGGACCCTGCTTGGGACTCCTGGTTTCTGCTGACAGAGGTGACGCAGCCCTCCCTCCGCCTGCTGCGGCTTCCCCTCTCCCAGGCTGGCTGTGGCTGAAAGCACCCTGTAGCTGAGCTTGGAGGGACCCAGGACCTGTGCTTTCTTATTTCTTCTCAGGGTCCCCTTGGGATGGAGCTTGGGGTGATGACCAGAAAGCAGACTTTGGTGCTGGCTGGATCTGCCTCTGAGTCCCCGCTCCAGCAGTGAAGAACTCAGTCAGTTCAGAGGCTGGGCTTCCTCATCCTTTGAAGGAGGTGGCGACCCCTCTCAGGACAGCGTGGTGTCCTGGGGCTGGCTTCCTTCTGTGTACCTCCTCACTGCTCCTCCCTATGGCAGGGATGTCTGGCAAACTCTAGTGTACTCGTGAATATGTATGTTTCAAAAGAAGAATGCAGGGAGAAAGCAAAACTTACTGTCAAGGCTAAGGCTAAGTTTGAGGGATCTATTTTTCGTGGTGGTTGTGGTGGTAGCTGTGATTAAACCCAGGATCTTTGCCCTGCACTACATCCCCAGCCCTTAATTTTTTTTTTTTCTTAATTTTGAGATAGGATCTTGCTGATTTTTTCAGCAGCCCTTTCACTTGTGATCCTCCTGCCTCAGCCTCCTGAGTAGCTGCGATCACAAGTATGTGCCACTGCTCCCATCTTATTTGGCAGGGAATTGAAAAGCCTTTCTAGGGAGTTCCCACCATTCCGTATTGGCAACCATCTGCTCTCCTTACAAGGTTCATGATAGGAAAACTGCAAAGGTGAATGTGCTCAGGGAGAGACGGGGAGAAGTGGGTGCCTGGGTTCCCTCTTCTCTTTCTGGGGTCCTTTCCCTTGGGCTTGCTCTGGTGATGGACTCCCCTAGTTCAGCAGTGAGTGGAGCCCCCTGCCGGCCACCCCTGCCCCCAGGGACTCACCACACCCGAGCCTCGCTTCATCCACACAATGGTCAGGGAGGGGTTGCCGATCCAGGAGCAGCTGAACACGGCGTCAGAGCCCAGGTCCACAAGCAGAGACTGGGGCTCCATGGTCATCCGGGGCCCGACTGTGGTGGGGAGGAGGAAGGGGAGGGTGCGGGTGGGTGCGGAGCTCCGGGAACCCTCCTCACTCCCCTCCCCTTCCCCCTCACCCTGGCTGGAGGACAGGAGCAGCAGGGGGTCCGGCCACCTCCATCCAACTCAGCTCATTCCCTGCACATTTGTCCTTTGCCCTGGTGGCCCTGGGCTCTGGGAGTGGAACGCGGAGTAGGGAGGATGCCCTGTCTCCAAGCCTGGCCTCTCTCCGGCTGCAGAGGCTGTGGGCAGCGCTGGCCTGGGCTCACCTCCAGGGCTCTTGCACCTCCTGTCGTCTGTCTGGATCCCAACAGACATCAGGACACCCAGGGAGCCCCACCCCGACAGGTGGCAGAGGCCTGGGGTCCCTACCTGGAATCACTCTCGAGAGCTCACAGGCCCCCTCCCCAGCGACCCTGAGACAGGAGCGAAGGGGGCAAGGCCATGGCTCTCCCAGGTTCTCCCTTGGGTCCTTCGCAGCCTACCAGGCGCCCTCAGGTTGTCCTCTTCCACCAGCCTCCTTCTCAGCCCCCTGAAGCTCCCCTTGGCCCCATTTCCCATGCCTCTGCTACCTGTGGGAGAGTGCTGTGCACGCTCCTCCCTGCCCCCAGCACACTAGCCTGCAGTCCAGGCCTCGGCGCATGGGTGCCTGGGGCAGGCAGAGAGACAGCCGGGTGGGCCTTGGGGCCGCCTCTCAGGGACAGAGTCCAACACTTGGGGTCCAGAGACTAGGACAAGTCCTGTGCCATAAAACGGGAGTGCTTCTGTGGAGGCCGTCAGACTTGAGGGGCAGTGGCAGGTAATGGTAAGTTTGTAAAGTGCTTTTGAAACTGCAAACGGCAATGCATGCGTGAAGGAGTGTTAAGTGCAACCCATCCTCAGCAATGGGCCAACCTGCCAGTCCCTGCCAGGGCTGGACAGTGGAGTGTGTGGGCCTGTGACGGATCAGGTCATCGCTGGCCTCAGGTCTCACCTTCACACTTGTTCACTATGTGGCCTCAGGCCTCAGTCTCCTCATCTAGGTAACGGGGTTATAGTATCTACCTGTGATGGGACTGCATGTTGGTGTCACCCCCATTCCTACTCTGCAACCTCACCCCAGTGTGATGGGAACAGGAGCTGATCGGGTTGTGAGGATGGGATTACTGCCCGCTAAGAAAGGACAAATGGGAGCTTGATTCCTCTCCCTTTCCTTCTCAGGCTGGCCCTGTGAGGACACAGAGAGAAGGCAGCTATGTGCAAGCCACGGCCAGCTCCCCAGAGCAGCCATGCTGGCGCCCCACTTTCTGTTAGGCCACTGCATCCACCGTAACCTGCTGGAGCAGTGTGCGCAGGCACGGCCTGGCTGGGTCACTCTGAAGAGCAACGTAAACACGAGCGTCGTGTGCTTGGGATGTGGAGTGGCCGTGTGTACAGTAAGCCCCGCCAGAGGCTGCCTAGTGCTGGCCGGCACAGAGGAGCTCCCCAGTCCCTGCACTCACAGTAGACGTCCACTGTGCGGCTGAGGTTGGTGCTGCCCAGGGCGTTGGTCACCTCGCAGGACACAGGCTCTGAGAAGTACGTGTAGTCCACGGTAGTCCTGTACACCTCCCCGGATGCCTCCTTGATGATGTGACCTCGCTTGGCCCACCTGCAACAGAGGCCAGGGGGCTAGGGGACCTCCCCTGGCATGGCTGTCCCTCTGTCCATCCCACAGGGAAACCGGGCCTGTGGAGCCCTTGGGGAAGTCTCCAAAGAGGGGCGACCTCAGTGGCTGGGAAGGAGTCGGTCTTCACCCACCAGGTGTCAGGCAACAGCGGGCTTTGGGCTATGGTCACCAGGTGTCAGTGGCCCCTAACAAGTGGGTCATTCTGGAGGGCTGTGACGTGATTACCCAGGTGGTTGGTCCATCTGCCTGGTTAGACCATGGATGACCCAACTGTCACCAGCAGACAGCTTGGCTGTCCTGCTCTGCGCATGACTGTGGGTCCCATCCTGGGCCATGTTAGAAAAAGAGGTTTACTGCTGACCTCAGAGGTCATGGTCTAATGTTGGTGTGCCCTTACATGCATGCACTTGCACACATGTGTGTGCACAGCCCTACCATAGACAGAAAAAGGAGGCTCCTGGAGCCTGGTTTCCAGGCAGGGCGAGATATAGGAGAGGTGTGATGGAGCCACCTATCCCACTGCTCTTCTTTTCCCACTCGGTCCATTCACTCGATTCCAGCTCCTGCCCCCAGTGTGGGTCCCTCCTGGGGTCCCTCCTCTCCCTGGACGTTAGCTTAGTTCCTCCCCCGCCTGCTTTTCTTCCTCCCCAGCAGCTGCCTTCCCACTCTGGCTTTGTTTCCTGGAGGCCCCTGCTCCATTAGCCTTGGTTCATGGGGGAGGTGGACAGGAAGTGCCTCTTGGCCTATCAGCACCCCAGGCTTGGCCCCAGCCTATCAGCACCCCAGGCTTGGCTTCAGCCTGACAGCACCCCAGGCTTGGTCCTGACCCTGGGGTGGTGATCACTGCACTGGACGAGCCACCAGCCACCTTCTGTGTGCAAGACATGCTGCAGCCCACAGGGCTTGTGTGTGCGTTGTGAATGTGTGCGTGTGTGAATGTTCACGTATGTGTGTATATGCACACTTAGATGCCTGCATAAGTGTGCATGCATGTGTGCGTGTGTTCTATGTGGGGGTGGAAAGTGTTTGTGTGCGTGTGTGGATGAGCACATGTGAGAGCTTGAGTGTATGCCTGTGCACGTGTGTATGAAGGTGGGGCTTTCATTACAGATCCCTAAGGAGAGAGCTCACAGCTTCCCTGCTTCAGTCCTGTCATGGACAGCTGTGCCTCCTTAAAAGCCCAGAACCTCCACCCGGCTCCTCTAGCCAAGCTCCCTCTCCTGCAGCTCCAGCCTGTTTGGGGTGTGAGTCTCTCCTGGGCTCACTGATTCCTGTAGGAGGGCCCCTGCGGCTGCTGCCTCCCCTCCCCTCCTCCAGCTCCGTGGCTCGGTGTGGCCTGTCCAGCCTCGAAAGATGGCATCCTAGGATCACCCGGACTGGCGCCGTTTGGTTGTTATCACGAATTAATATTGGGTAATTATTAGGAACATGATTAATAATAACAATTATAGTTTAACAACAGAGCGAACCATACCTCCCTGAGAGCTTAAGGAGCTTCCCAACAAACCATTATGAGTTATTCATGAATCGTTTCCATTCCTAACTTTAATTTAATGACCAGACTTAATAGTCAGGCATGGCCCCTGCCTGAGGTGGAATAATTCAGTTCCAGACACACAGTTGGGGATCTGCATCCAGCCACTACTGCTTGTCACCTGCTGCAGTGAGGGGGCTGAGTGGTGGGACCATGCGGAGAGGTCGGGTTGCGGCTGGGAGAGCTGGTTCTCATTGGCAGGTCCTGTTTCCTCCTCAGGGTCCTGGAGAAGATGGGCCTTCTCCTTCTTCCCTGTCTGGGGCCTCCCCGGGAAAGCTGCTGGCTTGGCCCGAGTCCGCAGGAGAAGTGCTGAGGCCCTGAAGGCCCGGAGCCCAGCCTTCCAGGGCCCAAAGTGTCCTCCTCCCCAGGCCAGGATGGAGTCAGAGAGGAAGGAGATGAGAGGGCCTGGCCAGCCGTGGGAGGGAGGCTTTCCTGCCCCAGCAGAGCCATGCCATTTGAAATGGCCCTCTGTGTGGCCTGTCCTCCATTACAGGTGGCAGGAGTGCAGGAGAGACACTCTGACTGTCCCCTCCCAGGGTCACGGGCAGGGACTGCCTTGGGCCAGAGCCTCGGGAGCCCACAATCAGGGTCTGTAGTGAAGGTGCCCTTGGTGCTCCCCCCACCAGGAGTCCTCTGTGCATGCCTCACGCTGTCTTCCCCTCCCACAGTTCAAGCCTGAGGGACCCCCTGCAGATGCACAAGGCTCTGACATCGTGTCTTAGCCGCTGGCCCCAGGACAAAGGCCCTTCTTGTTTCCTGTGGTCCACGGCTGAGCCTCCTCCTGCTGGGTGCCCTCTGTCCATCCCCTCTCCTCCCTGCTGTTGCTTCTGCACCCCTCCCAGGCCCTCTGAAAAGGAACTCAGCTTAAGCCTTCCCCAATCAATGTCTAATTTTGTCTGAACAAATGTAGAAGGATTAATTATTTATATCACGGAATCAGGAGGCCTGGCATGTCACAGCTGACAGGTTGGCATGTCACACGGCCCCGTGCTCTGCGTGGGCAGTGCTAGCCCCTTGTCCCATGCTCTGCTGGGACCGCCTCAGAGGGAATAGCCTCACGTTGCACTCAGGCCTGTGCTGCCAGCTCTGGGCTCCTAGTCCTGGGGGCTGCTGAAGAGACAGCCGCCATGCCCTCTTTTGGGGTGCAGGGGTTAGGGAGAACACATGTTTAACTTTGGAGATTGCAGCCTTTTAGGTGGACCAGGGAGGAAGCAATCAAGACAAAGGGAAGTAAAGAAAGAGTCCCATAATCTCGCCAGTCAGCTGGGAAAAATCAATGTACTTATGTGATGAGATTTGCTTAAGGCTTTTCCTCTTGGGTCCCACCACTGCATTTAGAATCTGCTTGCAAACCCGGGCTGCTTGATGAGTCCTTGCTGGGGGAGGGGGCTGAGCGGGCGGGGTGGGCGTAGGTTCCCCACGGCCTCCCATCTTTACAGCCTGGCTCTCACCTTTTCCTGCGGCCAGAAGGGTCCCCCAAAGCTTTTGGAGCCCTGGATGGAGCCCAAGCTGCACTGACATATTTTCAGGGTAATCAGAAGGCCACGAGGGATGATAACCATGAGTAGAACTAGTGACCACCTGCAAGCATCCCCTCCCTGCCCCTTGTGGCTCTTAGGTGCACCAAGTGCTCACCCTGGGTCCCCAGAGCCACGGAGGGTGAGGGAGGGAATTCTACTTGATACCACTGCCTAGGAGACCTGTGTGTTCATTAACTTCTACTTCACAAAAACCAAACTTCAAAATCGGAGAAGATTTGCAGAATAGTCCTATAAACCACCATCTTTCTTCACCTACATCTTGTTGTTCACATTTGGCCGTGTGTGCTTTAGAATGACTTCTGTATAGCTTTACACCTCTTCCTCCTCCTTTTTTTTTTTTTTTTTTTTTGGAAGGACTGGGGATTGAACCCAGAGCTTTTGCACTTCTTGTATTTTTTATTTTGAGATAAGAGTTGCTAAGTCACTAAGCTGCCCAGGTGGGCTTGAACTTGTGATCCTTCTGCCTCAGCTGCCCAGAGGGCTGACATTATAAGTGTGTGCCACACCTGGTTCTTTGTATTGTTCTATCTTTTTAAGGTGGTTGACCGTGGAAGCCAGGCCCCACAGCCTGGTTTCCTGGGTGTTTGCCCCACCTGCAGTGGCCAGGAGCGGGTGTGTGGTCAGAGGCCTTTGGTGTGCTGTCTGCTGCCTGCCCAGCCTCTGATCCCTAGGTCTCCAGGGGGTCAGGGCCCCAGGAGCATTCAGAGGATGATCCTGAGGATGAGTGGGCAGTGTGTCTGCCAGGGAGCATGTGGGAGTGGTGAGGGCGTGAGAAGAGCTGCCTTGGGAAGCTGGCATGAGGGGTGTTTTCTGGGCACATTGTTCCTGCTATTGAGGGACTGTGAGCCAAGATCTGGGACCGGACAGAGGCCAGGCCAGGGGCCCAGCCTGGCAGGTGCAGGTGCAGAGGAAAGGAGTCTCACTGGGTTTTCCTTCTGCATCTTCCGCCCTTCTGGACAGATACCCAGTCAAACCAGACCTGCCTCTTGGACCTGACTGGGCCACGGGGTTGCTGGGAGCCAGTGGTCCTCAGCCAGGAAGGAACCCTGGGTCTGCTGTTCTTATGGCCTCCAGTGCAAGGAAGGGTTAAATCAGGCAGGACATACGGGTTTTCGTCCAACTTCACCATATCCCCAGGAGATGCTCTGTGCCCTCTCCAGGGCTGCTTAATTATCCCCTCTGCAGGGAGCTGCTCCTGACATCCAACCTGAGTCCGGCTGCCTCTTTGGTCCATTTGCCTTCATTCTGCCTGCTGGGTCCACAATGCCTCACATCTTCCCGGCTTCCCACTCCCACTGGTGGGCCACTTTCTTGGCCTGGGACCATTAGCATCCTCCGTCCTTGCTGAGAATGCAGGTTAATAGCCCAGATCCATGGAGGAGATGTTGCCCCGGGTTCTGTCCTAGGCCTGGGCTGTGGGAAGGACAGGGCAGACTTGGGGCCTCGGTGAGTCTCATGAGACATCTAAAAGGAGGGGCACATCCTGAGCCTGCCCTTCAGCACCCCCCGCCCCGGTTAGTTTCAGAATCCCATGTGGTGATGCACACAGGCAGGAAGGCTCCCGGACGGGCTGCCCTGTGTGCTCACTCTGTCAGGCAGTCCGTAAGGAGCGCCTAGTTTACGCCACGCGCTGCACGGCATGCTGAGAGCCATCAGTGACTAAATTGCAGTTCTTGCCTTCGAGAAGCTCCATCAAAAGGCAGAGACAAGCATGGAAAGAAGTGAGGCTTTCATCAGCGCCATGGGCAAGGACTCACAGGGGCCATGTGTACGTGGGGTCCCAGGCACCACCGGACCCTGAGCAGGGGCCAGTGATGAGAACAGACTGACTGACTCTCTCGGCTGTTTTAACCTTTTGCCTGAGCCTCTCTTTTAGAAGGAAGGAATAAACAAACTTCCTCCTGTGGAACAAGAAAAGAAATGTCCACTTGACTGGCCAGTGGCTGGGTGTCCGGGGAAGGGAAGAAGGCTCTTGGACACTGATGCAAACCACACTGTGGCCATGCATGCACAGTAAGGGACACTCCCCATAACAGGTGTGGAGGTGGAGGGGCTGGGGCCGGGCCGCGGCTCTGCAGCGCTGATGCTCACCGGTACTGGGTAACAGCGGGGTTGGCCTTCGCAGAGCAGTGGAATGTGACGACATTGTCCTCCAGGACCGGCTGTGGTTCCACTGACAGGTTGACAAGTGGAGGGTCTGCAGGGCGAGGGAGAGGGAGAGATATACTTGTGAACCGGGGAAAGAAGGGTGCAGGAAACCCCTGGGTGCCGTGGATGGTTCAACCCAGAGATCCCACACTCCAGGGCCCCTCAGAGCAGCCGTCAGCCTGGAGGGCACTTCAGAGTGGGACAGGGCTCAGCAGGAGGCTCCGCTACTTCCTGGATTGAAGGCCTGGTACTGAAATGAACCTCCAGGCCAAGAGGGCAGTTGCCAGGGCCCAGGATCAAGCTGCCCAACTTCTAGCTTCTGGTGGAACAAAATGCTTCAGGAGAGGTGGTGGGAAGGGGTGAAGAGGTAGGGAGATGGATATTCAGCCCTGTTTCAGCACGAGTTTCTGACTTTGAAATGTCTGCAGTTTCTCCATGCAGGAGTTCTGGGGCCTCTGGTAACGCGGAACTGGCATTTGCACCCTTTCATCGGTGTAATCCTCTCGGCAGAGTCCCGACTGGTGCCATCAGGCCTTGGCTCCTGGGCCGGGTGGCCAGTGCTGGGGGCTTGTTTTCTCATCTGACGTGATAAGAAGCCAGGCTCTGAAGCTAAATGGCGGGAGGTGGAAGAGACGGAAAGTCAGACCAAGGGAGGGAGATGGGGAGACACGGAGACAGGGAGACGGGAACCACAGACTGAGATTTATACAGAAGGCACCAGAGAGAGGTGGACGTGGATACAGAAATGTATAATCATAGATTTTCTCTGAAAGCAGAAAAGACCAAGGGAGGCCCAGTATACAGACAGAAAATGACAGTGTTGGGGAGAAGAACCGAACAAAGTAATGAGGGACAGAGTAAAGAGAGGGAGGAGCAGACACCAAGAGACAGGAAGATGGGAGTACAGCTGGAGTGTCATCAACAGAGAGGCGGAGAGGTGGAGATCAGCCAGGAGAGGGCTTGGTTCTCTCTGCTCACTGCAGCTGGTGCCAGACCTCCTCCAAAGGCCGGTCACCCTGCCGCTGGGCCCCTGGCAGCCCCAGGCAGCCACATTCCAGGAGAGAGGATACAGTGGGCCACTGCAGGTCATAGCCTGGAGGCTGGGCTGGAGTTTAGCTCTGGGCTGAGTTCAAGGACCCCAGGACCCCTTGGCCTAGCCGGGATCCTGGGCTGCATCTTCTGGGCTGGTCTCCACCAACAAATAGAGCAAATTGCTGGAAGGCTGTGAGGACTTTCTAGGTGTGTGGTGTGTGTGGTTCATCTTCAGAAAAATCAGTACTCAGTTTCTCAGAGGGCATTAAGAAAACTCCTGGCCCCTCTGAGCCGTCGTGAGTGGCCCCACAGGAAGCAAGGGTTTGGGGTCCTGGCTGAGTCTACAGATGTGGTTCTGAGAGTCTCAGAGAGGCAGTATGCAGTCCCCCAGCCATGGCTGACGCTGGAGGTGGGGCCATGTGACTGTGGGGCCCACACTCTGAGTGCTGGAGCTGTGTCACATCTCACAGCCTGTGCTGGAGACGCCATTGGGCTGTGTCAGCATCAGCAGGACCCTGGTGAGCAGGAGGTGGATACCTGTGCTGGGGAGCCTGATCTCCCTACCTTGTCCCAAGGTCCTGGCTAGAAGGCCACAAATCCAGGAAGCATCGCTGCTATAGTTTGGATTTCATGTCCCCAAAGGTCCATGTGTTAAAGCTTTGGTCCCATGGAGGTGCTTTTGTGGGGAGGTGTGCAGCCGCTGAGAGATGAGAGCTGTGGGAGGCCTTTAGGCCAGGGGGGTTGCTGGGTCTTTGAAGGGATTTGTGGGACCCCAGTCTTTTCTTCTTCCTCTTTTTTCTCCCACTCACCTGCTCTCCTGCCATGATGTGCTGCCTAATTATAGCCCAAGGCAATGGGGCCCACCGACCAAGGAACAGCCCCACCGATCCCAGGAGCCTAAATAATCCTTTTCTCTCACTTAAGTTCATTCTCTCAGATATTTTGTATGGTGATGGAAAGCTGACAGGCACAGATGGGTAATTTGAACAGTTAAATCTCAGTTTTTATTGTTTTTTTTTTTTTTTTTTTTGGTGCTGGGAATCAAACTCAGGGCCTTGAACTTGCCAGGCAGGCACTTGTGCTGCTGAGCTAGATCCCCAGCCTTAAATCTCAGGTTTTAAAGCACAAATCAAATGATCACAAGATGCATATAGTGAAGAATAGCTATGAGAACTCTCCTGCCATCCCCCAGAAGACTAGCTCCTCCCCAGGCCTAGAGCCTCTGTCTGAGGCTGCTCCCCAGCTTCCAGGAAAGGCTGAGTCAGGGCCCTGCTCTCTGTCCTGCAGGGCTGGCTGGCTAAGCTGGGCATCCTCAGAGACCAGGGCAGAGCTTGTGTGTCACTGTGGAGAAGCGTGTCTGGAAGCACAGGAGTTTGGTAGCTACTGTCTGGTCCCCAGGGCAGAGCTGGCCCGTATCCTGAAATCTAATACTTTTATTTTAGGAAGTGGTGGTGTCGGCCTAGTGGGCTTTGGAATCCTGCAATGGAACTGGGGGAAGTTCCATGTGGTCCCTCCTTTACCTGAGCGTCCTTTACAAAGTGGGGAGCCCTCAGGAGGCAGGCAGAGGGAGCACGGGGCTGCTGGCGACCCTTCCTGCTGCCAGTGCTCTGTAATCCACCTGCCATTGTCATCTCCCATGGAGGGCTCTGTTCTGCTTCCTCCCTCGAAGTACTCAGTCCCCAGCCTGTCCCTAAGGACCTCCAGAGTATAGGCCTCAGGAGGGCCCCACTCACCTGTTTCATCTGCACCCCTGCCCCAGCCTCAGAGATGCTCCTGTCCCCCTCTCCACCCTCCTCCTCTGGATTCACAGGATATGAATTTTCAGGAGTCTGCAAGCTCCAGGGGTATAAATAGTTTATGTCATATCCAACTATTAAACATGATTTTAATCCCACTTGTGATGTCGGCTGCATAAGTTGCAGGAGGGCAGCTTTGATATAGCTGGTGGAACTGAGATCACATTGAACAGATGTTACAGCTGAGAGTCTGTTAGTGTTTCCATCAGCAACCTGCGTGCGTGGGTCTGTGTGCATGTGTGTGTGCGTGTGTGTGTGTTTTCGGGGGAAGTACTACATGAGGGGGGATAAGAGAAACTTCATGACTCAGTGATTTTATAGCACATCCATTTGAAACTTGGCAGCTGGACACAGACTCCAGATGTGGTGAGGCTTTGGGGGTGTTAAGCTTTCTCTCCCATTACCCAATCTGGGGGCTTTGTCTTCCGTTGGGTAACATAGAAAGACCAAGGGAAACAAACAACAAATGTGCTTTTGCTGAGTGGATGCTTCTTGGTTGACTGAGAAAATGAGCAGGTTTGCAAAGGCGGCTCGGCTCCAGGCCGTGGTGTCCACAGCAAACAGTTGGACGCTTATGGAATGAACAAACGAGTCAACAGAGGCGGAGGGAGCAGGAGGAGGGAGGCGTGAAGAGAGGCTGTGCCTTCGCGGGCAGCTCGTCGGAACACCTCCTAAGGAAACCAAATGCTGGGGCAAATGGATGAAGGCGTCCACCCTGGGGGACTGAGGGCACTGGGAGGGACTGCCACGCCCCCGGGAGTAGATATGACACTCATAACGGGTCAGGTACAGTGCTGGGGGTTGACCTGAATGATTTCATTGTATCCTCATGGCAACTTTAGGAGGTTAGCACGAATCCCGCTGTGCACTGATGCAGAACAGAAGCATATAGCAATGAACTAGTCAGGCCCACTGTACCCAGTCAGCGGTGGAGCCAGAGTTCAAACCAGGAAGAATGCTTGCCGTCCACCACAGTGCTGTACTGCTGGACGGTCCGTCTAGGAAACCAGGCACCTGGGTCCTAAATCTCACTCTGGCTACGTTTCACATGTCCCCAGTCTGACATGGTTGAGATGTCCTTGGAAAGAATACCATGCTGGGCCCAGACACCTGGGCCCTCTGGTGCAGACCACATGCTCAGAGCAGCCAGTGAATGGGTCCTCTTGCTGGACTGCATCTGTAGCATGTCTTTGAGTAGCCAGGGGCCGTTATGATGATGGCTTTCTTGTCCCTGGGAGAGGTTCTCTTGGGTGATGGGTAATGGTCTGGAGCAGAAACACTGCTTCTTCTCATCTCTTTCTATCAGGGCTCTGGCTGTCATCATAGGGGAGCCAACTAGGTCATTCCTTTAGTGCAGCATTCTGTAGCTGGCATGGCCTGCTGCCCAGGCTGGGGATGAGGCTGGGGGAAGGAGGGTAGAGGGCTGCACAGCGGCCACAAATGGCAGCCTGGAAGTAGGGGCTTCGATGCCTTGTGTCTCCTGCCCTTGTTCCTCCAGGTCTGGAGAAAGCCCTCACTCACAGTCAGTCCTAGAGCAAGAAGAGACCTTGGACATCACTGATCAAATCAGACGAGGGACAGAAGTCCCCAGGGAGAAGTGACAAGCTAACGCCTGCCCAGCTCATGGGCGTGGGGTTATTCTGGCCCAACAGCACCTTGGCTCTCTCCAGAGCTGGGCCTCTGCTGCATGCCACAGCCGTTCACCTGGACAGGAGATGGTCCTGAGAGCCAGGGCTAGACTGGGTCAGGGAGGGAAGAGCCTGGGTGAAGAACTTAAGGAGGGCCTCCCTGTGGGGCCTCACCCTGTACTTACAGGACCCGTCAGAGGGAGCCTGTTCTTCAGTTTTATACCCTAGGTTCCCTCCTGGCTCCCACTGTCTGAGGAGTGGAAGGAACCCTGGGCTATGTGGGAGGAGGTAAGGGAGGTCGTAGTAGCTGGGGTAGAATGATAGCAAAGGTGGAGCCTTCCCAAGACTGTACCATTGTGCTCAGGGTCCTAGAACCCAGAGGACGCTCACAATCATTTCTTCCTCCCTCTGGTCTAAATGGTTTCTGCCAGGGTTTTGGGCATTTATGTCGTCTGTCCACAATGGGTTCCTGAAAGCCTAAGACACAGCCTGTGGACTCTGGTTTCTTGGTGGGCCACGGAAATCTCAGAAGCCTCAGATGAGCCAGAGCTGTTAGAAGGAGTTTTTGAGTTCATTTGCTTTCTTTTTGGTCTTTTTGAGACTGGGTCTCACTATGTAGTTCAGGCTGGCCATGAGCTCACTTTGTAGCCTAGGCTGGCCTCGAACTCACAGTGATCCTCCTGCCTCAGCCTCCCGAGTGCTGGGATTACAGGTGTGCGCCACCACACCTGGCAAGTTCATTTGCTTTCAAATGAGTAAAATGCTGAGAAGGACATGAATACCAGGCTGCAGCTCCAGCTCGGCCCTTAGTCTGTGACCAAGGGGCCACCAGCCTGCAGTGACATAGTGATCTATGGTAGGGATGGGCATCTGAGAGGGAGAAAGTCCACTTTTGAGGACTGGTACCTCAAACCTAAACTAATCCTTTCTTGGTAGTAAGGCTCCTGGAATGGCTTTGTTGAGCTTTTCTTGGTTCCTGGAGGATGACAAGCATAAAGGGAGAGTTTTAGGGGACCTTTGGGAGACTCCTTTAGGTGCTTTCTGGAATGTGATGCTGGCCGAGCTTTATAGTCTTGTTACTGTTAAT